ATCCACATCATAGTATTCTCCTGCATTCTCCAGCACACAGAAGTCCAAGCTGGCCTACGGGATGGACAATTGAGCCATGCAAATGGTGGCATTTGTTGTGTTTGGCAGTCAGTCCAGCTATTCAGAGCTCATCTAGCAGCTTTAGGCCATGTCCACACATACACGGGTGTCCTTACAAACAGAGTTTTCTCTTCTTTTGTTTAAAAAACATCTCGGATGGTAATGCTCGTGTAGGGATGTCTTGTTTCGCTGTTACTCGACATTCAACCAGAAGAAGAAGTAATCAGTGTTTCACTGCCACCTAGAGGTTGTGTTGTGAGATTAATGTTTGCTTATTGAAATATCCGTGTTGTCACAATTACCTAGCCTGTGCAGACTGCTGGAGAACTACACATCTGCCACTATATAAATCCTCAACTCCCAGATGTCTTTGCACTCACACACCAGTTCCTGGTTCCCCCTGATTACACACACAGCTGGAAGCTCATGATGGACTGATTACTGCACTGTAAAACCCAATAAGTTAAGGTAACTCAAACCATTTGAGGAAACCCATTGCAACAAACCATTTAAGTTCAAAAACTAATCCTAATGAGTACTGTGAACCTGATCCATTTGAGTAAACGAAACGATTTCAGTACAGTAAAACCTGATAAATGAGTAGAACTCAAACCAACCGAGTACTGTACAACCCAATAAATTAAGGCAACTCAAACCGTTTGAGGAAACCAATTGCTGTAAATCTTTTGAGTTAAACTAATCTACTTGAGTACTGTGAACTTACTCCATTTAAGTTGAAGTATTGAGGTGTTTAATTAACTCAATACCTTCAACTCTGAGTTCAAAAGTCTTTTCAAATGAGTAGAATTAACTTTCAGTCAATTCTGAGTTAACTACACTAATTTAATTTGATAAAGTTGACTGTCGGGTTTTACAGTGTAGGACTAAGACACCTCATTCACACACCCTTTGCTGAGTCTTGTTATACTGTAAGTGAGTATTTCAAAGCTTGTCCTGCCTACCAGCTTTTGACCTTTGCTTTGTTTATTGTTTTATGTTGTTTTGCTGCCTGTCCTGACCGTTCGCCTGTTCTCTGACTTCACTTTTGAATTATCTGCATGCTCCTGTCTGCCCCTGTTTTGACCTTTGCCTGCCTGACGACTCTCTTAAAAAACTGCACATGGATCCTCACCTCTTAAACAAATATTGTCTTCAAAATCAGACATAAGAGACAAAAGCAGTGCGACCATATAGTTGTACTTTAATTTTACTTTGCTTTTACCTGTTTCGTAGAATCCTGGTTCACTGGACTCGAACCCGAACGCTCTGCTTCACAAGTACAACACCAAACAAACTGTTCGATTCACCATATTGATGCAAATGTATTTGGTTGGAAATTATAGACATGTTAATTTGTTTTGTGGTGTTTATTTAAAGAACTGCACAACAACAATCCTTTATTCATCAATAACACGCCCCTGTAAATATGACTAGTGTGAAAAGGAACAAAAAACATGATCATCATGCTGCCCCCTAGTGCTCATTTTGCCTAGAAACTGCACTCAAGTGTACATTCAAGTACGTTTATTGCTGTTTCAGTGTATGCCGGAGCCCATATCTCCTCCACATATGAGTCTGTGTTGCAGATATTTCAGTGCTTTAAAGTGTTTGCTATTTGTAACACCCTTGTCTCTGTAAGCCTCTGGCGCTCAGTAGAGTCAGCGTCAAACGATTCCTCTGCCGGTGAGGATCGTGTGTGAATCTACAGTATATCTGCTGCTACCAGAAAGAATCAGGGCTTTTGCAGCAAAAGGTAATAATAAGCTGAATTGGACGGCTCTCCACTTCTTTAGGGAATACAAATGACTCAGCAGTACAGTGACACAAAGCCTTGCAGTTTTACATTTAGACATCCAGAAAAAGCTCACAGCAGTGAATTTCTCATGCTGTATACGGTATTGTACTCTCTGCTGGTCTATCCGATCCCCTGTGAAACATAGACCCTTTGAGAGCCCTCAAAAACAGCTGTTCGATACGGTGGATGGAGCAATGTCGCAGTCCTGATCGCTGTCGTTCTCCCTTAATAACTTTAACCTTTCTGACATCTTTTGTCTATTAGATTAAATTTATTTCAAGAGTTCACACTTAGCTGATGATTGCATGCTTTGCATGCTGTCCCGGGAGAGAGCCCTGAGCTGTATATTACTTTATACTTCTTCATATATTTCCAGTGGTGTAAAGTGACTAATTACAAATACTCAAATTACTGTTATTAGTTACTTTTTCTCAGGAATTGTAATTTACTGAGTAGTTTTAAAAATGTGCACTTTTACTCTCACTTGAGTATAAGTTTAGTGCAGTATCTGCTCTTTTACTCCACTACTGTCCTTCAACCTGCAGTCTCTACATTATTTTTTCTTGTTTATGGGGATTAGAGAAATCAGTCCTGTAATTCCCGTCCAATCAAATCACACATAGAAGGTAAATCGCCGCATAATGAACTACCTCAAGACTTTTTTATAAATGCAGCAAACCAGCCTGATCTCACGAGAAAACGTAAGTATTTTACGTTTTGCCAGTTTAGTGGCTAATTCGTACGAACTCGTACGAGTTCAGTCGTACGTAATGGTACGATTTTAAAAAGGAGGCGTGGCACCTGACCCCACCCCTAACCCCAACCGTCATTGGGGGATGAGCAAATCGTACTAAATTGTACGAATTAGATCGTACGAATTTATACGAATTAGCCACTAAATGAAAAAATTACGAATTGCCGTGAGATTGTGTTGAGCAAACTGTTTGGAAGCATTAAACGTGTCCAAGAAGATCTCCAAAATCTTTACACGCATTCACCCAGAGACTGTTTAGATGATGCCACTGATGAGAAGATGACAGATGTTCACTGTATGGGGACCGAAATGGCCTTAAACACCCAGCAAGAACAAGACATCAACAGTACGTCAGATTGACGTTGTACCCCAATGTCGTGGGGACGTTGCATGTTGTTTGGTATTTACTATGATCTTCTAAAGCTGCTTTGACACAATTTACATTGTAAAAGCGCTATACAAATAAAGGTGAATTCAATGGAAATGAACATCGGGTTGACGTCAGAACTAAATGTCAGACCAACGTCAATGTCCAACCGAAAACCAACCAAATATCAACGTCTAATGATGCTGCAGCTTGAAGTTGTGTGAACATTACCATGACGTCTATCAGACGTTGAATTTTGGTTGTCATACCTGATGAATAAACATCAGTATTACAAATTTATTTTCACTTTGCACTATACAATTGAGGACACCATCACAGCTATTCATCGTTTTATACCAAATTGGAAGCATTCAGAAACAAATGTGAGCTGAATCATCATTGTGCAATGGTTAACTTGACTATTATCGCATTATAATAATAATAAGCCTACAAACAGAAGCACATCAGTAGATCAAATGATGCAGCAGGCCAGATTCTACTTCTTCCAAGGATCATGAACCACAAGAGACCCGAGCAGGAGAGCAGTCAACATAACACAACACACATGCAGTACTACACTTCTGAGGTATTCTCATTTCTGACATTAAAGACGCTCGTGTGTGTGGGTGGTCATGTGACATGGGATGCGTCATGTATGATGCGCACTGTTCCCATACAAACCTAGCCGGAGAGAGAGAGAGAGAGAGAGAGAGAGAGAGAGAGAGAGAGAGAGAGAGAGAGAGAGAGAGAGAGAAAGAGAGAGAGAGAGCATCTGAAGGCTCATTCTGCAGCGGAGCAGGACCAGTTCATCTGTGCAGACGGAGCGGACACCTGCGCGAACTATGTGAAGGTAAAACTTCATTATTTTCAATATAAAGACTATACCAACCTGGTGGATTGCAGATTATACTTACTAATGTGACGCTTTGTGAGTCCTCAGTTGCGTTGTTTTATTCCAGCAGAACGGAAAAGTTGTTTTATTTTCGATCATCTCATGTGCGCCTTGCAGAGTAGCTTGTTTTTTTAATGAAGCGGGTTTGTTTTGTTTCTGTTAGGCGATATTTCTAAGGATTGAGTGGCTGTGAAGTTCCCACATGTTGCGATACATCGACACGAAGAGAAAAGCCGAACTTCTGTTGCCATCTGATGCCGAGAATCGATTCAAAACACAAACATTTTAAATGCTAGCAGGCAGACTTTATTAAAACGTCGCGAAATGTTACGAATAAACTATAAATACGCACATTAACATATATAGTATAGTAAATAACATCTCAGGACATTTTAATAAAGGCGTCTAACATTTAACACCTCAATATTTATGTTTTCGATATCGCTAAGACGTTCAAATTGCCAAGTAACTAAATATTAGCATATGTGTTAACATTTTCAACATTTATAATAATAATAATAATAATAATAATAATAATTATAATAATTATAAATTATTTCCCAAAGATTGGTTGCAGCTGGAAGGCATCAACTGCGTAAAAATGTGCTAGATAAGTTGGCGGTTCATTCCGCTGTGGCGACCCCGGATTAATAATGGGACTAAGCCGACAAGAAAATTAATGAATGAATAATAAATTCGCTTTTGTACATAACCCCCAAAGCCCTTTCCCCATTATATATATATATATATATATATATATATATATATATATATATATATATATATATATATATATATATATATATATATTAAATCAATATAAAGTTGCATTTCCCAGTGATGGGTTGCATCTGGAAGGGCATCCACTGCGTAAAACATATGCATAAGTTGGCGGTTCATTCTGCTGTGGCAACTCCAGATTAATAAAGGCACTAAGCCGAAAAGAAAATGAATGAATGAATGTATATAAAGTTGTGTCCTAACTTGACTGTTGCTCAATGGCGTTTTGGGTTCAGTCTGTCCACTGCTGGCATTAATTATTCAAAGCCCGTCTCTTAGAGTAATAATCCCCGGACGCCCATCCATGTGAGGAGAACAACAAGTGCAAAATACAAGAGCCATGTGTCTGTGTCTGTGTGTGTGTATTTATATATATATATATATATATATATATATATATATATATATATATATATATATATATATATATATATATATATATATATGGTGGCTCGTCTGAGAGTGCATTTGTTTCCAGGCTAAGCCAAGCATCGATTGAGCTTCCGAGAGCTCAGTAATATCTGTTATCTTGAGGATCCACATGAGTCAGTCAGACTGATCCGAGCAAACACAGTGCGATTACACGGACACCAATCCTTGGAATTTAATGCGAATAAAGGGATAGTTCTACCTAAAATTAATTCTCTCACTATTTACACATTCTCAAAGATCAAAAGAAGATATTTTGAAGACATCGACTTACATAGTAGGACACATGAATTGAAGTCAGTGGTTACAGGTCAGAATCTTTTAATAAAATATCTTTTGTGCTCAGCTGAAGAAAGAAACGCATTAAGGTTTGAAACAAGTGACTAAATGACGACAGATTTTTCTTATTTTAAGTGAACTACGCCTTTAAGACAATACTCTTTTTTTTATTATTATTTATTTATCATTTTACAATATAACAAACAGCACAATTGACAAAAGAATGTTCAGCGTTGAGTAGCATCAGAGTGTACAAATATAAAAACATGCACAACAACAAATCCAGTTCATGTTACTAAAACAAGAATCATTCATTCATTTTCTTTTCAGCTTAGTCCCTTTATTAATCTGGGGTCGCCACAGCGGAATGAACCACCAACTTATCCAGTATATGTTTTACTCTGCTGATGCCCTTCCAGCTGCACCCATCACTGGGAAACATCCACACACACATACACTATTTACAATTCACCTGTACCATGTCTTTGGTACCGGAGCACCCGGAGAAAACCCACGCCAACACGGAGAGAACATGCAAACTCCACACAGAAATGCCAACTGACCCAGCCGGGGCTCGAACCAGCGACCTTTTTGCTGTGAGGCGATTGTGCTACCCACTGCGCCACTGTGCTGTCTGGGCATGTCATGTATGATGTTTTTAAGTAATTCATTTGGTAAAGGGAGTTCCTATTTCCAGTTTAACCGGATCCTACATACATAAGAAATCAGACCTACCATTTTAGTAAAAAAAAAGGCATGATCCCTCACTCAAGTCCACCCCAAAAAGATAAATCAAAGGAGTCTTGTGATATTTCTGTAATCATGTACAGTATCCCAAATCTCATTTTTTTTCACAGTTCCCAAAAATATGCGTGCCCTTATGTTCTGTTACATAAAGGTGATGCACCGGGATATATCCTACTGAGGCGAACTTTAATATGTAATTTTATTTAATAATTATAATAATTTTATTAATAATTAATAATTAGTAATTTAATTTAATGTAATTTAATATGTAAAATGTAATTTTGCTCAATTATTTTGTTACTAGAAAATGAAAAAGACACACATTTGTTTACAACATCCCACAGATCATCATCAAAATTACAACCGAGGTCTTTTTAAGATAACACTCTGGTTAAGAGTCGACCATGTAAACAGACATCTTAGATGACCTTGATTTGAATATAGTCATGATCATAGTAAACATGAATTAAGACATGTGGAGAATTCCTATTTTAGTGGCATTATTGAAGTGCAGTACAGACATGTACACACCGCAATCAAACTATTACCGGATTATTCACATTTTTCTGACAGGATATTCCACACACACACAAGTGTTGGACTACTCCAACGCAATCTCACGGCAATTCGTAACTTTTTGTTTTAGTGGCTAATTCGTATGAATTGGTACGATCTAATTATTTTTTTATTTAATTTAATAAAATTTTTAATTAAATTTTTTCTAATTTGCTCATCCCCCAATGACGGTTGGGGATAGGGGTGGGGTTGGGTGCCACGCCTCCTTTTTAAAATCTCGTACGAACTTGTACGAATTAGCCACTAAACTAAAAAACGTAATAATTACGTTTTCTTGTGAGATCAGGCTGACTATTCTCTCCCGAGTAGGTGTGCCACATGCCTGCTTTTGAGTAATGCTCCCAGGCGTTAGATCGCCCCCTGGGGGCTGGCTGCAGTACAAGTCGTAAACTCCGCCTCTTACATGTTAATAAATGAGACTTAAGTCCAAATAAAAAAATATTCACACTTGCAAAATGTCCCGAAAGATGGTTTTGGTGAATTAAGGCGCTGGTTATCAGCTGATATAGTTGCAGATCTTCATTTTTGTAAACAGTATGGCTGCGTCCGAAACCGCATACTTCCATACTATATAGTACGCTAAAATCAGTATGCGAGCCGAGTAGTATGTCTGAATTCATAGAATTCGAAAATCAGTTTGCGAGAAGTACCAGGATGACTTACTACTTCTGGCGAGATTCTGCAGTGCGCATCCCATGCACGCTACGCTATCCCATAATGCCCTGTGAGAGAATTCATGAATGGAAGTGAGGTGACGCAACTGACGTAGGTAGGTCACGTGACTATGCAGAAATGGCGGATGTAGTAAGTCCGAATTCCATTCATACTTTTCACATTCACACTGTATAGAACGCACTTTTCTAGCAGCCGAGTACGTTTAAATTCAAATGCAGTACCTACTGAGTAGTAGGCAGTTTCGGACACAGCCTATGTTTTTAGCTAGTAATATGATGCTATAAAAATGGGGCGTGTCATCATGATTGACAGTTGTGATTGACAGCTTCTCTAAGCAGACCGGCAGGGCTTCAGGAGAAGATTGAAGAACCAATGTTGGATTTCCGTGTTGTTTTACCATGATAAAATAAGTTGTTCAGCAGTAAACTAAACGTTCTGATCTACGTTTGTTTGGTAAAGTGTGGGCTTTATCTTAGTTGTTTGTTGATACGTTAGCCGTGACAGGGAAATACAGGGGATCGTTACTAGCAGAAATTCTCTTTACGGGTCTGAGATAATAATTAGCAAGACAAAACTAATGTTAGCCTCTGTCCACGTCGATCTCCTGTATCTTTATTTGAACTTAATTCACAGGACGTCTCTGACATTATGAGTTTCGGCATGTTAATCTACTCAATCTACTAAAGCTTAATTTGCTGTTATAAAATATTAATGTTCTTATATAATAAACAGAGCTGTTAATGTTATATATTATTACTATAGTATACATAATGTATCGTTGGCTTTTTATTTGAAACTCCTAATCAATCAATGTAAATTCCTCCTTGCCAGATACAACGAAGGCATCAAATAAATGAAAATGGAGGCAAAAAATTGATAAACAATGCAGAAGCGATGTTGCTGCAGCTGGCAGACATCAGTTGATGGGTTAATACTGCTAAGTTCATTCTAATGTTATTTCTACCCATATGAAGATAATAAATAAATAAATAAATAAATAAAGTCTAAATCAGGCGAGAGTGTATGTAAATGTTTATTTCTGCAGTCCAACATATATTGATTTTATTAAATTATTAAAAACAGCTTACACCACACAGTTTTTAAATGAATCGTGTTTTTTTATTTATTTAAGTGCTTATATTTTTTTATTAGCGAGCCTTTGCTTCAGTGCACATACGGGCGGTCAAAAGAGAAGCTCCGGGGCGGTGTGGTTGATTTGACGTACAAGTGTTTGGTTGGAAGCTTGATTCCATGGCTCCGCCTCTGGCTCCATCAGGCAGTCCTTCTGCGCATGCCCAGACTCCAATTTCAGCAGTGTTTTGCGACAGTTTGTACCTGTCACAAGGCGTTTTGCATTCAAAGCTTTCAATAGGAAAAGGCGCTGACGCGTCATCCATATTTTTACAGTCATTGTTCCCAAGTCAGTAAAGGACCACGGACAGCCACACATCTAAGGTGAACACGGTGAACTCCTGGTGAACAGTTTTACAATTGCTGTCAGGGAAATATGTAAGTTTTCTTTCTATTTGGGGAGCGGTATCAAATTCCGTTTCAATTCTTTCCTATTAGTCTTTATAGTTTCATCCAATACCTCAGAGTTCACAGATAATGAATGACATGTTGATGAATAAAAGTGGAACTACTGAACTGCGGTCGCAGTCGAACAATTACAATTGAAACACACAGAGAAATGACACGAAGCTTCAGAGGAAACGTTGGATAGCGTGGTGATGTAATCACGTTGCATTTACATTTAGTCATTTAGCAGATGCTTTTATCCAAAGCGACTTACAATTGAGGACAAGGAAGCAACTTACACAACTATAAGAGCAGCAATGAAGAAGTGCTCTAGGCAAGTTTCAAGTTGTTTCAAGTTGTGAAAACTGTAAGCAAAACATTAGTCATTTTTTATTTTATTTTTTTTGTAAAACAGTTTCTTGAAGACAGCGAGTGACTCTGCCGTTCTGATGCAGTTCGGGAGTTCATTCCACCAACTGGGCAGATTGAACGCGAGAGTTCGGGAAAGTGATTTCTTCCCTCTTTGGGATGGAACCACGAGGCGACGTTCATTCACAGAACGCAAGTTTCTGGAGGACACATACATCTGCAGAAGTGAGAGCAGATCAGAAGGGGCACAGCCAGAAATCGCTTTGTAGGCAAACATCAGAGCTTTGAATTTGATGCGAGCAGCAACTGGCAGCCAGTGCAAACGGATGAGCAGCGGAGTGACATGTGCTCTTTTAGGTTCATTAAAGACCACTCGTGCTGCTGCGTTCTGCACATGTTAATCAGTGTACTGGAACAGGTCAAACAGGGAGCATGAAAGGAATATCAAAAAGCAACTCATATAAGCACCTTAAAAGGATAGTTCACGCAAAAATCAAAAGCTGCTCACTATTGACTCTCCCTCAACCTTAATGTGTTTCTTTCTTCTGTTGAACGCAAGAGAAGATATTTTAAAGAATGCTTAAAACCTGTAACCACTGACTTCCATTGCAGGAAAACAAATACTATGGAAGTCAATGAAAGTTCTCTCTTTCTTCAACAGATCTACTTTTGGGTTTGGAGCAAATTATGATGTCAGAATTTTCAGTTTTAGGTGAACTGCCCCTTTAGTCATATCATTGCCTCATTCAGATTTAGTTGAATAATTTGATCGCTGATGTCCATGTAAGCGTAGTCATTCTCTCCATTTCCTCCGACAGGTTTCCTCTAGAGCATCTCTGACCATGCTGTTCCCGGCCTCAAAGTCCGATGTTAAATCTGTCCTGGACGGAGTGGCGGAAACCACCTTCAGAACCATCACCTCCGGCCTGCAGTACATCGGCTCCAATGACATCGGCTACGACGACCACATTATTGACGGAGACTTCTCCAAAAGCGGATACCCTCTGCCCAAGCCGTTCGCAGCCTACCGCAGAAGCTCCTTCGCGGATAAAGTAGCCCCAGATGAGGAGCTGATCGTCAAAGGTCTCCCCTTTTATCCCACTAACAGCTCTGATGTTTTCGGTAATTGGAGCCATGCTGAAGACGGCAGTCTGCAGTGCGGGGAGAACTTTATGGATATGGAGTGCTTCATGATACTGACTCCCAGTCAGCAGCTAGCCATAGCGGTGTTATCTCTAACTCTGGGGACGTTTACGGTGTTGGAGAATTTGGTGGTGTTGTGTGTGATTCTGCAGTCGCGTACGCTGCGCTGCAGGCCGTCCTACCACTTCATTGGCAGCTTAGCCATCGCTGATCTCCTCGGCAGTGTTATATTCGTCTACAGCTTCCTAGACTTTCACGTCTTTCACCGAAAAGACAGCCCTAACGTTTTTCTGTTCAAGCTAGGAGGCGTTACGGCATCCTTCACCGCTTCTGTGGGAAGCCTGTTTCTCACTGCCATCGACCGATATGTGTCCATCCATCGCCCGCTGTCGTACCGGCGCATCGTGACGCGCACGAAAGCAGTGATCGCCTTCTGCATGATGTGGGCGATCTCTATTATCATCGCCGTGCTGCCGCTGCTGGGCTGGAACTGCAAGCGGCTCAACTCGGTGTGCTCCGACATCTTCCCGCTCATCGATGAGAATTATCTGATGTTCTGGATCGGCGTGACCAGCGTTCTGGTCTTATTCATCATCTACGCGTACATGTACATCCTCTGGAAGGCCCACCATCATGCAGTGAGGATGCTGAGGCGCACGTCACAGAAGAGCCTGGTCGTGCACTCGGCGGACGGCACAAAGGTATGTTGTTGATAGCACTACATAATATATATTGCAAAAGTATAGTTAGCACAATAATAGTGTTAGGGCTACACAATATATTGCAAAAGTATCGTTAGCACGATATATCACTATTGTGTTTAATAGTGTTAGGGCTGCACAACATATCGGAAAAGTATTGTTATCGTGATAATAGTGTAAGGGCTGCACAACATATCGGAAAAGTATTGTTATCGCGATAATAATGTAAGGGCTGCACAACATATCGGAAAAGTATTGTTATCGCGATAATAGTGTAAGGGCTGCACAACATATCGGAAAAGTATTGTTATCGCGATAATAATGTAAGGGCTGCACAACATATCGGAAAAGTATTGTTATCGCGATAATAGTGTAAGGGCTGCACAACATATCGGAAAAGTATTGTTATCGCGATAATAGTGTAAGGGCTGCACAACATATCGGAAAAGTATTGTTATCGCGATAATAATGTAAGGGCTGCACAACATATCGGAAAAGTATTGTTATCGTGATAATAGTGTAAGGGCTGCACAACATATCAGAAAAGTATTGTTATCGCGATAATAATGAAAGGGCTGCACAACATATCGGAAAAGTATTGTTATCGTGATAATAGTGTAAGGGCTGCACAACATATCGGAAAAGTATTGTTATCGCGATAATAATGTAAGGGCTGCACAACATATCGGAAAAGTATTGTTATCGCGATAATAATGTAAGGGCTGCACAACATATCGGAAAAGTATTGTTATTGCGATAATAGTGTAAGGGCTGCACAACATTTCGGAAAAGAATCAATATCGCGATAACATTGTTAGGGCTGCACAATATATATTGCAAAAGTATCGTTATTATGATAATAGTGTTAGGTGTGTACAATATATTGCAAAAGTATCAATATCGCAATAATAGTGTTAGGGCTGCACAATATATATTGCAAAAGTTTTGTTATCGCGATAATAGTATTAGGTGTGCACAATATATTGCAAAACTATCTTTAGCACGATATATCACTATAGTGTTTAATAGTGTTCGAGCTGCACATAATATTGCAAAAGTATCGTTATCGCGATAATAATGTAAGGGATGCACAATATATTGGAAAAGTATTTTTATAATAATAAAAGTGTTATGGCTGCAAAATATTTTGCAAAAGTATTGTCATCGTGATAATAGTGTTAGGTGTGCACAATATATTGCAAAAGTATCGTTATTGCGATAATAGTGTAAAGAATGCACAATATATTGAAAACGTATTGTTATCATAATAACAGTGTTATGGGTGCAAAATATATTGCAAAAGTATTGTTATCATAATAACAGTGTTAGGGCTGCACAATATATCGCAAAAGTATCGTTATCACAATAATAGTGTTAGGGCTGCACAATATATCGCAAAAGTATCGTTATCACAACAATAGTGTTAGGGCTGCACAATATATCGCAAAAGTATCGTTATCACAATAATAGTGTTAGGGCTGCACAATATATCGCAAAAAGTATCGTTATCACATTAATAGTGTTAGGGCTGCACAATATATCGCAAAAGTATCGTTATCACAACAATAGTGTTAGGGCTGCACAATATATCGCAAAAGTATCGTTATCACAATAATAGTGTTAGGGCTGCACAATATATCGCAAAAGTATCGTTATCACAATAATAGTGTTAGGGCTGCACAATATATCGCAAAAAGTATCATTATCACAATAATAGTGTTAGGGCTGCACGATATATCGTAAAAGTATCGTTATCGCGTTAATAGCATTAAGACTGCAGAATATATTGCAAATCTATTTTTATAATGATAATAGTTTTAGGGCTCCACGATATAACACTAAACTATAATAACTGCCATAATAGTGTTAGGGATGCACAATATGTCGAAAAGGTACTGTTATCATGATAATAATGGGGCTAAACGATATATTGCCAAAGTATTGTAGTCACGATAATAATGTTAGGGCAGCACAAAATATATTGCAAAAGTATCGTTATCACGAAACTAGTAGGTGCAATATCACAGACCTGTGTATTGGTTGATTATCTAAATTTGACTGATCAGATAGAGCTGTACTATCTTTAGCCCCGCCTCCTCAGTAGTTGCTGTTCTGCCATTGCCCAGAGTAGCCCAAAGCTGAACCCAGAGCTGAAAAAAATAGATTTTGGTGGGAGTTTTGGTTTTTGGGAGCTGGATGGTGAGGTAAATCTGTTGTTTTCAAATCGATTAGTTGACTTTACTTAAATTAAGTGAGTAAACCTGTTCTTTTCAATTTGATTAGTTGACATGACATAAAATAAGTGAGTAAATCTGTTGCTTTTTATTTCAATTCAATTCAGCTTTGTTTGTGTAGCGCTTTTACAATGTAGATTGTGTCAAAGAAGCTTCACTTAAATGGTCATAGTAACTGGATCAGGGTAGTTCAGTTTTTAGTGTTTAAGTTCAGTTCAGTTTAGCTCAGTTCAGCGTGGTTTAAAGTCATTATTGAGAGTCCAAACACTGAAGAGCAAATTCATCGATGAGTAGCTTTTCAGATCCTGAACCATGCAAGCCAGTGGCGACAGCGGAGAGCTTTTAAGCCATTAGTTGACTTTACTTCGAGAAAGTGAGTAAACCTGTTGCTTTTAAATTGATTAGTTGACTTAAAATACGTAAGTAAACCTGTTACCTTTAAAGCGATTAGTTGACTCTACTTAAACAAACTTTTAACCTGTTGCCTTCAAGTAAATGAACTATGTGCATAATTATAAAAATTAAGTTAAATTAACTTAACAGAGCTGAGTTACAATAGGTTCACTCACTTCTTTTAGATGAAGTCAACTTTTCGCTTTTAAGGCAACAGGCTTATTTTGTTTACGTAAATTAAAGAATCAGTTTTTACAGTGCAGCTGAAATAAGTTTGGGCTCTGCAAGATTTGCCTTTTTATTTATTTTTTAAGAGACTCTTTAAGGCCGAAAATGTCGAACAAGTCATAGAGAAACAAAAGCGAGTATTCATAATTTCATAATAAATAAACAGCACTTTATGAAGAGAAGTGTCCAACAATTAGGTTTTCCGTGTTGTTTCAGCTCATTGTGTTGTTAAATAAGTTGTTCAAACAAACAGCAAACGTCATTTTTTGAGTGACAAGTACGATGTTTTACTCTCATCACAACACAGCGAAAATGACATTTGCTGTTTGACCAAACAACTTATTTAACTACACAAGGAACTGAAACAACACAATTCTTGAGTTTTTTGTTTGTTTTTTTGCAGGAAAACTTACTTGTTTTAAGTTGAATCCTCTCAATTTTGTAAAAACAGTTAACTTAATTTGTGTTGGGACAACATGAAGGAATTGTGTTGAACCCTGCTTTTTTTTACAGTGTTTGTAAAGTCTATTAGTAGATTTATTATATGAGAGTAGGGCTGTAACGATACACGATATAAAATCGAAATCGCGACACTCAGATCTACGATCCTGTGTCGCGGTGTGATAAGGGAGACTCGCGACACACCCCTGATACCTTTCCAATAACGTCACGCGTGCCTGCAAAAGTTGAGCTAATTAACACTTTTTTTCGTTCGACATTACAAGCACTGCTCCGTTTAAGCCCTCGCAATATTTAGCCGGGAGAGCTCGCACGGAGCTCTTAGTAAGGGACCGTCTGAATGTGTTAGGGATATCAAAAACAAAACCAACTTAACCCCGCTTATTTTCCGTAAAGCGAGCAATTTGAGGAAGTCTGCGATTTTTATTTGACGGAAGAAAAAAACATGATTGGAAAAAAAAAGCTTATGCCGGTTATTAAAAAGAATCAGTCAGTATTTTCGTTTTGTAATATAAATTAATTATTTAAGTGAAAATAAATTAGGGCAGTCCTATTTATTTTATTCATTTTATTTAGATTATTCTGCTCTTCTGTGCTAAACACTACAGGTGCGTGGAAATGCTCTGTTGTTCTGTTCCGCTATTAATATTCTAATATATAAAAATAAATCAGTATTTTAAAATGCAATATTTAATGTGTCAGACACAAAATAGACACGTCAATTTGTTTAATATAAAATTAATAGTAATCTGACCAGTTAACCGGTAATAAGCGATTAATGAGCGGTGGTTGTTGGTTAGCAAAATTAACGAAATGAGCATCCCTAGTAGCTATTTAATTAACTTTTTCTATGTAAGAGAACTTGATTGAAAAAGAATTTTCAACATGCTTGAACCATCTACACAATGGAGTTTAGTTCTGTTTGGTTTTTCAACAGTATTTTGTTACAATGAAAACAGAAGTGATATAGCTTTGGCTATTTATTTATTTTATATATGGCTATTTATATTGTTAATAATTTGCATAGTTAATATTGTTCTTTGATGTTTAGTTTATAAAGATTTTTCAAATGTTATTTAATAAAAAAATAGTTTTAAAAATCTTTTTTTTCCCACCCCACACGAAAAAATTAAATAAAAATCGTGATACGAACCGAATCGTGGGTCAAAAATCGTGATACGAACCGAATCGTGGGTTTGGTGTATCGTTACAGCCCTATATGAGAGACTTGCTTTGTTTACCAAAACAAGTGGATCTAATTAGATTTGCATTGAAAACTTTTAAATACAATACATATTTTTAGTGTTCAGTGTGTTCAGTTTTAGTTACTATTCACTACTGGGATTATCAACACTGCCACTTTGCCTCCCCTTTAGGTGCAGACCCCCCGACCGGACCAGGCACGCATGGACATCCGTCTGGCCAAGACGCTGGTGCTGATCCTGGTGGTGCTGGTGATCTGCTGGGGGCCTCTGCTGGCCATCATGGTGTATGATCTGTTCTGGCGGATGGGGGACAACATCAAGACCGTGTTTGCGTTCTGCAGCATGCTGACGCTGCTCAACTCCACCGTCAACCCCATCATCTACGCACTGCGGAGTAAAGACCTGCGCCGGGCCTTCCTGGCCGCATGTCAGGGCTGCCGCGGCACCTCCACCACCCCCCTGCAGCTGGATAACAGCCTGGAGTCGGACTGCCATAGGAACCAGCACCGCGCTGCTGAGAGCTGCGTCAAGACCACTGTGAAAATCGCCAAACTGACAATGTCCGTCTCAGCGGAGACCTCGGCCGAAGCCGTCTGATTGTATGAGCAGCGCAGGGCTGTGGAAAGTGCATGTAGAAATCTGTTATATGGATGTGTGTATTTATATACACACACTACCTGTACCTGACAAAAGTCTTGTGGTGGATTTCAGTTTAAGAGCAACAAATAATATCTTGACTTCTTGGTGATCATTTGGAAAAGTGTCAGAAGGTGGATTAATCCCATGAATCATCTGCTGATCTGCATCCCAATCATCACCAATACTGCAGAAGACCTACTGGAACCAGCATAGACCAAGATTCTCAGAGAAATCAGTCAAGTCTGGTGAAGGAGAAATCATGGATTGGGGTGGAGGACATGACTTTTGTCAGGCATTGTGTAATTACAATATATATATATATATATATATATATATATATATATATATATATATATATATATATATATATATATATATATATATATATATGCAAATTAAATATATAACATTCATATATAACGTTCATGTTTGGATCTCACATTTTAAAAAAATATGTCAAAATACATTATACAATATACATCAAAACGTTTTTTCAAATATTTACAGTATAAATGAAAAAGCTTCATTTTTAAAATTTTATTTTTTATCCATTTCTCAGTGAATCTAGGCGACATATGTTAGTCACTGAACATCTTTAAAAATAGAAAGGTAATACAGTTTAATTCAAGTGAAATATTACAAAAAAAAATTACAAACTACAAAATTTCAACAAAATTTTTGTTTCTCTTTTTATTGTTTTTATTTTATATTTTTCTCTAGCGTGTAAATTTGCATGTACTAAATTTTGGATAGTTATTATAAGTTATTTTGATTGATTAGCTCCAGATTTGGCTTTACTGTTCAGTGTAAATAACAGTTTTTTATTGTATGTAGTTTCAAATGAAGTTATTACCCCAGTCATTATTGCCTTTATTATTATTATTATTATTATTATTATTATTATTATTATTATAAATAGTAATAATAAAATAATAAGTGTAACAATAATAATAATAATAATAATAATAATAATAATAATAATAATAATAATAATAATAATAACAACAATAATAAAAATAATGTGTAATAATAATATTAACAATAATAAGTGCAATAATAATAATAATAATAACAATAATAAAAGTAATAGTAATATTAATAATAATAATAAGGATAATAATAATTATTATTATTATAATTATTATTTTATTATTATTATTATTATTATTAGAGTGATTTCTGAAGAATCATGTGACTCTGAAGACTGGAGTAATGAAGCTAAAATTCATCTTTAAAATCACGGGAATAAATGATTTAATTAGTTAGCTACTTTTGAACAGTAATTTTATAGTGTATAGTTTTTTTGATGAAATAAATGCAGCTTTAGTAAGCAGGAGAAGCTTATTTCAAAACATTTATACATCTCACTGAAAAAAACTATTCGGAGATGATTCCTTGGATTTACTCAATTATTTTACGTTAAGTGGTTGTAAACGATTTATTTGTGTTGAATTTAAACAGACAAATTAAGTTAAACATTATTAAATTTAACTTGTTTGTTTAAATTCAACACAAATAAATTGTTTGCAACAGTTCTGCATGCAACACTTTTTTGAGTCCAAACATACGTAGCATATTTTTCTTAGGCACGTGAGGGTAATTAGGCAAGTTATTGCACTGTAAAAAGTGATTAGTTGACTACATTAAAAAGCAAGTAAAGCCATCGTAATTAAGTAAATTAACTGTGCACATAATTTCCAAATGACAACAGAAGTTCTGAAATGTTTAAGTAAATTCAACTTGTCTCTTTTAAGGCAATGGATTTACTCACATTTTCAAGTAATCTCTTTTGTAAAATATAAAATATGTCAAAATATTGCAAAAATAGCTATTGGAACTACAAATATGTAGAAATATGTTCAAATACATTAGCTATAATTTTATATATCTGTTGTTATATGGCCATTTTAATATATGATGCATAGTTGAATTTATGGTTATTAGCCCTCCTATTACATTTATTTATTATTTTTTAAAAATATTTCCAGTTTTAATTACTCATTTCTAATAATTGATTATTTTTGTCTTTGCCATGATGACAGTAGTTATTATTTTGTAAGATACTAGTATTCAGCATAGCAGAGTGTAATTAGGTTAACTAGGCAAGTCTTTGGACAATTTATTGAGTAGATAATCAAAACAAAGACGAATAATATTCATATTCATATTAAAACTCTTTTTATTCCAGCCAAACTAAGATACATACGACTTTATACAGAAGAAAACAACATATTATAGGAAATACTGTGAGAGTTTCCTGGCTCTTTTTAACATCGATTGGGAAATATTAAAAAAATTAATTAATTAACTAATTAAAATACAAGTCCCAAGAGGGCAAATTTTTGGCTTCAACTGTATATGAATGATATGATATGTATAGATGAAGCATATATGACATTTATTTTATATTTGTGAAATCCAAATATGTAATTGGCATATATATATATATATATATATATATATATATATATATATATATATATATATATATATATATATATATATATATCCATACATCAGATTTCTACATGGGTGTGTGTCAAGTTGAAAACACAAAGCTGCTTGAGTTACCACTGGTTTGATGAAGTGCTCACTACGACGTTTCATCGCTTAAGTGCCAAATGTTTCTTTTCTCAAACGTCCGAGCTTCTCGGTTAGTGTGATTTTACCAAATAGGACTTAATGCTGGATTAGCATCTATGTTGATCCTGGAAGAATATTAGAGTCAGATTTAAGGATTACGCTTGCAGATTTTTTTTGTTGTTGTTTTTGTTGTTATGTTTTCATTGTTATTCAACTATTAAAGCTAAAAAAAACAAGTTGTTGGCTGAAAATTGGCAGATTTTTTAGCTTGTTTTAGGGTAAAACTCACTTGATTTTGACATTATTGTCTAGAAAATGCTTGTTAATTTAAGAATTGGTAGATTATTTAGACTAGAAACAAGACAAAACTTCTAATTAAGAGCTGCATTGAATGCCCTCTGAATTTGGAGATGCTATGGTTAGGTTTAGCAGGGTCTCCGCAGGGTCCTAAAATGTCTTAAATCTCAAAAGCTAAATTTTTAGGCCCCTTAAAAAGTCCTAAATCTACTGAAATCTTAAATCTTGTTTCAGCAGGTCTTATTTTTCCTTTGTTCATGTATATCTGCCCAATCTGACCATTAACACCCATACAATCACCAACAATCCCAATCTCAAAAAACCTTTAACTTTTTATTTAAAAAGAGCCTTTAATTACTTTCCTTACAGTAATATTTGCTTAAACGTTCTCTATTTATTTATTGCAGAGGACACCAACATAACCTATATATTTTATTATTAAATTATTATTATTTTAGACTGGGCTGCATAGACAGCTTCGTTTGAACCCAGGCTCATTTTGAAAACATACCCCTGTATACATTTCTGGAGAGCGCCAAATGCATCCCAGGAGCTGGGTTTTTTCTGCAGTGTTTGTTTTCGTGAATCCATCAGAGGCCGCTGTGTACTTTTTTCATTTATCAAATTTCTCTTCTGTTCTCATGTACATCCACCAGAGGCCACTGTCAACTGACTGACTGACTGACTTACCCCCCACCCCACTCACCCCCTTCCCTAAACCCAACCGACAGTGTTTACAAAAGCTATCCAGAGAAAAAGCCCTCTTGGCCGCCTGATTTTTAACACATTTTAAATTTTACCACGTTCTCACCCTGATATTTACTTGTTTATTTTACTTTTTGGGCTTTCGTTTTTGTCTTACCTGCTTTCTGGAACCGTTATTTGTGTTTATTTATTTATTTTAATATTTTCTTACCGTGATATTCATGACTCCACCATAATGCTGCGTTCAAACCGGGTGTGGATGAATCGCCAAGCGCGAGTGATTTACATGTTGTAAATGCGAAGACGCGACTATTCGAATGTAATCATTCGCACTTGACGCTTCATCTTTAGCATTTAGCCCTGTATAAATCTAAAAAGTCTTAAACAGTCTTAAATTTAACTTGATGGAACCTGCAGAAACCCAGGTTCAGGGGTCACTTTGCGTAGATGTTAATTCAGGATTGCATCCTGCTTGGCAGAATCACAGAGTGTTGAATTTGTCAGGGCTTTTTGTTGTTGTTGTTGTTGTTGTTGTTGTTGTTGTTTGCCCTTATATTTAATTGTAGTGTGTGTGGACGTTGTGCGTGATTTATGAAAGTTTACTATATTTTTATACTTTGAATTTTTGGTTTTCGAACAACGATTATATCTTCTCACATGGGAATAAGGGGCTAATGATCTTTTTAATATTAAAACTGTGTAAGTATGAATTAAAAATTATATATATAGACTGCAAATAAAGCGTTTCTAGAGTTTTTGTCTTGTTTTTTACAAGCTGAAATGTTTAAAACTCCTAAATCAAGAGACAAGCAAAAAGTGTTGTCTTGTTTTCACAAATAATAAGTAAAAACGAAGCAAATTTCTCCTTAAACCCTGCTGAAAAATCTAGCTTAAACCAGCCTAGGCTGGTTGGCTGGTTTTAGCTGGTCCACCAGGCTGGTTTTAGAGGGGTTTTGACCATTTCCAGTCTGGTCTTAGATGGTCAGGCTGGGAGATTACCAGCTAAAACCAGCTTGACCAGCCTAGCCAGGCTGGGAGCCCAGCCAAAACCAGCTATGTCCAGCTTAAACCAGGCTGGTCAAGCTGGTTTTAGCTGGGCTGGATTTAGCTGGTCATTTTCCAGTCTGACCAGCTAAGACCATGCTGGAAATGGCTGGAAACCAGCCTGGAAATGGCCAAAACCCCTTTAAAACCAGACTGGTTGACCAGCTAAAACCAGCCAACCAGCCTAGGCTGGTTTAAGCTGGATTTTTCAGCAGGGACACTCAAGCTAAATAATTATATTTCAAAGCGAATACGAGATTAATTAGCTTGTTTTAAGGAAAATACTCACGTGATTTGGATTTATTATTTCAGAAAACAAGACAATACTTTTTACTTAGTCTTGATTTAAGAAAATGTAGAATATTTAGACTAAAAACTAGGCAAAAACTCTTTTGCGGTGTGTAAAGTGTGTAAATAAAGCTCTGTGGTGATTTGTGTATCCAGCATCATCGTGACGAATGAGGAAAGGTGTGTTTTTGTGATATGTGTTGTTTTGCTAATATGAAAGTGTTATGAGACGAGAGCGAGGACATGAAGGAAAGCACAAAAACAACGAGGACTTTTATTTTGCTTGGTTCACAAGCCTATTGAATCTTTGTTAAGATGTTTCTGGTCCATTATCTACATGCTGCTTTCGTGTAAATGTGGCGCGGATCAGATGATAAATGCTATTATCAGTTGTTTTTTTAAAATGCCAGATGGTAATTGTGGTTTATTATGACCACAGATACAGTGACAGGAATAACTGTGTTAAATGCTGATGTGCTTCTCTGAAATGTAAAGTAGAAACTTATTTTACAACATGCACAAAGCCCAGAGAAAAAACATTAGCCGTTGAACATTTACCCGCCGTGTGTTCATAAACAACCGTATTTACTCCCGTACTTCATCAACAAACTGTTGAAATGTAAATATGATGATCGTTCAGTAATATTCCTTGAACCGTGAAATGGTGTGGTGGTGCTTTTTTTTTGTTTGTTCGCTCTGTCCAGAAGTACAGGTACATCTGAAGTAACTTTATACCTGAGAAATGTCTCTACTTAAATAACGATGCTTAAAAACATCCTGAAACGTAACAGTGGCTTTTGTCCCAAAGTAGTCTGTCTCAAAAGTGATGTCTTAAAATAAAGCTGCTTGCACAATTATGTATTACGGTTCAGACCGTTTGAAGATTCTCTCTCTCTCTCTCTTTTTTAAATAAAGTCAGTCCTGACCTAAACTGTGTATGTGATACTTTCATTTAAAACTCTTTTGTCTGTATTGATAATATTGCATTCTTACTCAAGCTGTGGTCGTTTTCTTTTCGGCTTAGTCCCTTTTTTTAATCTGGGGTCACCACTGTGGAATGAACCGCCAACTTATCCAGCATATTTATAACGCAGCGGATGCCCTTCCAGCTGCAACCCATCCACCCATACACACTCAATCACACACACACACACACACACACTCACACTCACACACTACGGTCAATTTTTAGCATACACAATTCACCTGTGGTGGACTGTGGGGGAAACCGGAGCACCCAAAGGAAACCCACTCGAATACGGGGAGAACATGCCCGTAAAACACCACACAGAAATGCCAACTGACCAAGCCAAGGCTCGAACCAGCGACCTTCTTGTTGTGAAGTGAACGTGCTACCCACTGCGCCACCGATCATCACAGCAATACAGGCTTGTACCATTCGCTTTTAGATTTTTGAGGGTGATATGGACTCGATATAACGCTTCACTTCATTTTTTAATGCAATAAAATTTGGATTTTTAGCTGAACATTTATATTCATGACTATGAAATTTGGCCATTAAAATAAAGAATTTAATTAAAAAATGTATGGGTCTTTTTGCCTCTAGCGTATAAAGCTCCTTAATGTCACACCCCCAGTTGTTTCCTAAATGATGTTTACCAGAACAGTTATGTTTTCACAGTGCATGTTTTTCTTCTGGGGAAAATCTTATTTATTTTAATTTGACTTTAATTAAACCAGTTATAATAATGTAACGCACAAAAAAATATGTTGTGGAAATGTATGGCATTTTCATATTTTAATTTTCAGGTTTTGGAGCGAGCTCTCTGACTAAAGTCGTGAAAATATACACAATATATATATACAAAAACGTTTAATTTGTGATGTAAAAACAAGCACACAGTGTTGATAGTCCAGCTCTGACTGCAGCACTGAAAGCTTCACGGCTCTGTATGAAATTACTTCCCTTTCTTCTTCAGTTACACACGGGAGGCTTAGATAAGTAGCCATGATTCATTTGGGGTGATTTTGTTTGTATTTATTATTCATATTATTCAAGAAAGGCTGTATGATTCTGTAAGAGAAAGATTTCTTCCAGACCACTGGTCTGCTGACGCCCTCTTGTGGACTTATTGAGAAGCACTGACTTCCAATATTTATGAAGGCAGAAGACATAAAGCCGATCAGAACCTGGGTAGTTAAAAAAAAAGAAAGCCTACGATCTTTAGAGAATAAATAAATAAATAAATAAAAAAATAAATAAAAGCGTGTCATCAATTTTAAAAAAGATTTAAAGCTTATATATATATATATATATATATATATATATATATATATATATATATACCACATCTCCATATTTTGGTTGAGTATTTTTGTTTCCACCAATCATTTTTTCAGTAATTGTACATTATTTTATATAAATTAAATTGTAAAAGCATGATTAATTGAGAAAGCGAGTATTTAATTATAAAATTATATACAAATTTAATTATAATAATTAAGTTAAGTGAACTTTATATCTCTAGGTTAAGTTAAACAGAAATATCTACACTTTTTTAAGTAAAATCAACTAGTCACTTTTACACTTTAAAGTCAATTTAGCCAGTTAAATTACTCACTTTCTCACAAGTAAACGCTTTTTGCAGTGCTTTATGAGTTAAATAAACCAGTTATGCATCAAAACAGATTATTTCAGACTAAATTTGCAACATACTTGAAATCCTGTTTGCCTAATGTGTATTAATATTAATAATTTAAGTCTTCCAAACTATTTTATTGCATGTTTTGCAATGAACCATACTATTCCGAATAATTTAAGTAAAAAAATCTGAATCTGCAATATATATATTCATATACTTTTTTAACAATATATACACCAGTTTACTGTAGTAAAAACTAAAGTATACTACAGTATTTATTACAGTTTATAGATTGACTAAAGTTCATTAATTCATTGACAAAATGTCTTAAACGCTATAATATAGTTAGTGTAATGCACTTTACTATAAATCAGGTCAGATGTGCACTTTAAAAAGCATCAATAATAATAATATTAATAATATGAATTATTATTATTATTATTACAATTAATATATAATATTATTATGTAAATTATAATAATAAAGGACTAAGCTTAACAAAAAAGAATGAAAAAATGAATAATAATAATAATAATAATTGTTATTATTTTTGTTATGTTTATTATTATTATTATTATTATTATTATTACAATTAATATATAATATTATTATATTAATTATAATAATAAAGGACTAAGCCTAACAAAAAAGAATTACCAATAAAAAGTAATAATAATAATAATAATAATAATAATACAAATAATAATCATAATAAAACACATTTTACCCCATTTTATCGAACAGATATGAAACTTTTATTTTGAAAATGTGTTGGGAGCGTTCTCGTCTTAAACCCGGAAGTGCAGCTCACGTAAGGCTCAGTAATCTGATCATGTGAAACAATCAGCTGGATGATCAAAACATTTGTGTCAGGATGTGTTGAGATGTTTCTGGAGTTTAAGTTGAGCCTGCGGATCATCCGTGAGGTGAGAGAACCACATCATCACGCGGAAACTCAATTAAAAGCCAACGTTAGCTGTCATAATCATCATCGCAATCGTTCGCTGCTGTTTAATATCTACAATTATCTTCATTAGACAGCGACATAAAGCAAAACAACCGTAGAGTTATTGATAATAGTGCACTTCGGTTGATCTTGTAACGTTAAATGCCTTGGTTTGTTTAATAATATGGTATAGTATTGTAATGTATTACGCCAGTAAAAAGATTGAGGTAAAGCTGGTGTTATATTCGCACATTCAGACTTTCTCCTTAATAATATCCTTTCAGAAAGTATGATTCGCAAATTCTGAATAGTGTAATTATATTAGCAGCCAATGAATATCAAAGTATAACAGTGTTCACAGACAATTTAATCGTGCTGATGTTGTTTTCAACTCGTATTTATATGTGATTTCAGACCCTATATTTAAATTAGTGTAGTAAATAATATAGAGGACGTTAAATAAAGGAATGTGCGAATATAAAACCAACATTACATCAATAGTAAAAAGTATCTGCAGTGTTTACTTCAGCACAACCGTGTTTTAGAAAATGGCACCATGGTAAAACCTTAATAGTTTTGTAAGTTTACCATGTAAATACGCGAATACGGCCGGACTGATTAAAGTGATAGTTCACCCAAAACTGAAAATTCTATTGTCATTTACTCACACTTTACTTGTTAAAGTTTCTTTCTTCTGCCGAAAACCGGTAACCATTGACTTTCATAGTATTTGTTTTTCCATCTATCAAAGTCAATGGTTACAGGTTTTCAGTTTTCTTTAAATCGCCTAGCATTCAGCAGAAGAAATAAACTCAAAAAGGTTTGAAACCACCTGAGGAAGAATAAATATTGACTAATTTATCATATTTTGTGTGGACTATCCAGTACCACGATATCCACCATGTCAACCTAATATCATCAGTACTAAATAAGATGTTATGTTTTGTTGTAAAGGTAAAGTTGGTTTTATATTCACACATTTGTTCAGGTTTATTTGTTTATTCGCATGTAAGTATGACTTCAAAACAACATTAGCACCATTTCAATGACAGTCAACAATGTCGTATTTGATAATAATCATTGGCTGCTAATATGATTTTCCTATTTAGAATAAATAGCGAACAATACCTTTCTGAAAGAGTTTAAGGAGAAAGTCCAAATGTGCAAATATAAAATAAAACCAGCTTTTCCTCAAGGTAACGTAACAGTTTTACGCTAATAAAAAGTATCTGCAGTGTGTACTTCAGCACAACCGTGTTTTAGAAAATGGCACCATGGTAAAACCTTAATAGTTTTTTAAGTTTACCATGTAAATACACTAATATGGCCGGACTGATTAAAGCTATAGTTCACCCAAAACTGAAAATTCTGTTGTCATTTACCCACCCTTTACTTGTTAACGTTTCTTCCTTCTGCCGAAAACCGGTAACCATTGACTTCCATAGTATTTGTTTTTCCTTCTATCAAAGTCAATGGTTACAGGTTTTCAGTTTTCTTTAAATCGCCTAGCATTCAGCAGAAGAAATAAACTCATAAAGGTTTGAAACCACCTGAGGAAGAATAAATAGTGAGTAATTTATCATATTTTGCGTGGACTATCCAGTACCACGATATCCACCATGTCAGCCTCATATCATCATGGAGGTAAAGTTGGTTTTATATTCGGACATTCATTAGTTTATTTTGGAACAGTGACAACTTGTGACGCGGTGCCTTTATTGTACTTTAAATATTTGCTTTCAACCACAACCCAGTACTGGGAAACACCCATTCACACTCAGACACATTCATACACCTGTACTGCATGTGTTTTGACTGTGGAGGCAACCGGAGCACCCGGAGGAAACCCACACCAACACGGGGAGAACATTCAAACTCCACACAGAAACACCAACTGACCTAGCCGAGGCTCAAACCAGCGACCTTCTTGCTGTGAGGCCACAGTGCTAACCACTGAGCCACCATGCAGCCTTGTCTGCTAATATGATTTTCCTATTTAGAATTTGCAAACATTACTTTTCAGAAATTATATTATTACGTAGAAAGTCTGAATGTGCAAATATGAAACCAAGTTTACCCCAGTAATATCATCAGGATTGAAAGAGAGGGTGTGTTCTGTTGACGTCATGGTTGTGTATGCTCTTGTTTAGGAATAATGTCGGACCCTCACTCATTTCTGGGCTGTGTGAGGAGGGGTCTGCGCTTCGACATGTTTAAGGATGTTGCTCGTCAATATCCGGTCATCTTCTGCATCTTCACGGTTATGATCTCCTCCACCATCATACTGAACCAGTGAGTGTTCTCTCACACATACACACACAGATAGAGAGAGAGAGAGACACACTTATTCTTTCGGCACGTTTCTGCACATAATAGCGTTAATATCTCATCTCTAATATCTGATTTATTTTCTCTTTGTCATGATGATGGTAAATAATATTAGACTAGATATTCTTCAAGACACTTCTATACAGCTTAAAGTGACATGTAAAGGCTACACTAGGGTAATTAGGGTAAAGTTAGGGTAATTAGGCAAGTCATTGTATAACAGTGGTTTGTTCTGGAGACAATCCAACACTAATATTGCTGAAGGGGCGAATAATATTGAGCTTAAAATGGCTTAAAAACAATTAAAAACTGCATTTATTCTAGCCGAAAATAAAACAAATAAGACTTTCTCCAGAAGAACAAATATTAAAGGAAATACTGTGAACAACTCCTGAATCTGTTCAACATCATTAGGGAAATATGGCAATTGTTTCCTGGTGATAGTTTTAAAAAGAAATTAGTGTATATTCACCTGCTTGGATTAATGTATCTTTCTCTTTTTATATCCTCACGCTTTCTGCAGGTATCTCCATATTCTGATGGTTTTCTGGTCATTTCTGGCTGGAGTGATCACGTTTTACTGCTCCCTCAGCCCAGAATACCTGCTGCCCAATATTCTCATCTCAATAAAGACCAAGAGGAAAGTGAGTATAAAACAAAACAAAAACAAAACAGTCCTGACTTTAAAACCACTGTCGTATCTACTAGAGGAATGTCTATTCAAGAGTACAAATCGAGTAATACTACTACTACTAATAATAATAATAATAAGTGTAATAATAAAAAGAGTAATAATAATTATAATAATAGGTGTAATAATAATAATAAAAAGAGTAATAATAATAATAATAATAATAATAAGTGTAATAATAATAATAATAATAATAATAATAATAATCATAATAAGTGTAGTAATAATAATAATAAGTGTAATAATAATAATAATATTAATAATAATAAGTGTAATAAAAATAATAATAATAATAATAATAAGAGTAATAATAATAATAATAATAATAATAATAATAATAATAAGTGTAATAATAGTAATAATAATAATAATAATAATAACAATAAGTTTAATAATAATAATAATAATAATAAGAGTAATAATAATAATAATAACAATAATAAGTGTAATAATAATAATAATAAAAAGAGTAATAATAATAACAATAATAAGTGTAATAATAATAATAATGATAAGTGTAATAATAGTAATAATAATAATAATAATAATAATAAGTTTAATAATAATAAGAGTAGTAATAATAATAATAATAATAATAATAACAATAATAAGTGTAATAATAATAATAATAAAAAGAGTAATAATAATAATAGGAGTAATAATAATAATAATAATATTATTAATAATAATAATAATAAGTGTAATAATAATAACAAAAAGAGTAATAATAATAATAATAGGAGTAATAATAATAATAATATTAATAATAATAATTATAATAAGTGTAATAATAATAATAAAAAGAGTAATAATAATAATAATAATATTAATAGGAGTAATAATAATAATATTAATAATAATATTAATAATAATAATAATAATAAGTGTTATAATAATAATATTAGCAATAATTATAGTATAATAATAATAATAAGAGTAATAATAATAATAAGTGTAATAATAAGATTAATAATAATAATAGCTATAATAATAATAATAATAATAATAAGTGTAATAATAAGAGTAATAATAATAATAATGGTGGCGCAGTAGGTATTGCTGTCGCCTTACAGCAAGAAGGTTGCTGGTTCGAGCCTCGGCTGGGTCAGTTAGCGTTTCTGTGAGGAGTTTGCATGTTCTCCCTGCATTCGATTGGGTTTCCTCCAGGTGCTCCGGTTTCCACACTACTTTAGAGCAGCTTTTAGGTGGTCAATGGCACGGTCTATTTCAGTTTCTTAAATCATTTAAACAATGTAGCTCAAAACATGAAAATTACTGTTGGGCTGATCTGAAAATAGCAACAAATTGCGCCAAACACGTCTTGAGCCTTACTGCGCCGGGTCCCAATGGGACAATGGCTGTAAATTGCTGAAGCAGTGACATCAGATTTCCATTAAGATCATTCATCACTCTGGTTCTATTTTTCTTCCTACTGTTCGTCCCTTTTTTCCACAATAATGGCACTCTTTCTTAGTGGGTTCATGTCGCGGGGTCGTCCTGAAGCCATTATAAATCATCTTCGCGGCTGGGAACGCTGAACTGTTTCCATCGTGTAGTGTTCAAGTAATAAAGCCACCACTGACTCCGGTGCTTTTTTCCACTCAGGACTTTCTAACTATATCCTAACAAATGGTTCCTTGTTATCCGGTCATTTTAGCGAGCTTATCAGGGTCATTAATATGCCAAAGTGCTAAATGCATAACATTATCCACTGTGTGTAGTCTGCCATGTCTTCCCTAACAATATGCGAATATTTGGATTAAATGGTTTCACTTTTGATAGAGTCAGATGGAAGTAAAGTGCAGCTATTATGCAGAAATCACTTCTATAAGGGGTTTAAACACAGTTGTGTGTCAGCAGTGTGTGAATATATCCAGCATCTAATGGTAAACAGTAATTAATAGTATTTGTTTATAATCAGACCTGATGAAAACAGTCTGCAGAAACACTTTGGTTGACATTTTCCCTTTGTACAAGCTTCCACTTCATCATTGCTTTTATGCAGTACTGCTTTTAACCATGAGGCGGCGCAGTTGAGTTCCTCCATTCACCCCAGGTCCTTTAATCTCAGACATTTCTGTGGTGACTGCGATCTAAATACAGATATGCATCTGGAGGTGTGTTTGCTGGAGTTACTGAACCCTAACGAGCCTATATATCTCACTTTCGGTTCATGCTTGTTGTCTTTGTAAATCACAAGTTTAAAGAAACCCTCCACCTTTTTTTTTTTTTTTGTGTGTGGAAAATCTCATTTTATGGCTTCTCTAGAGTTAATCTGCTCAGTTATACCATGTTTGAATTAATTTAGCCAAACTCCAGTTCTGGCGAGAGCATTTTTAGCTTAGCTTAGCATAGATCATTGAATCAGATTAGACCGTTAGCATCTCCTCTCCTCAAAAATGACCAAAGAGTATTGATGATTTTCCTATTACTGTACTATGACCAACAGAAAATGAAAAGTTGCTATTTTCCAGGCTGATCTGGTTATAGGAAACTCTGGTCATTTTTTGTGAGGTGCTAATGGTCTAATCTGATTCAATGATTTATGCTAAGCTAAGCTAAAAGTGCTCCCGCCAGACCTAGAGATCGTCTGAATCAATTCAACTGAATGGCTTGCTGTATAAAATAAGCCTTTTCCAAAAGTAAGTGTAGTGTTTCTTTAAGTTTTTCCCAGGATTGTTAAAGCACAGAGAGAGTCCTCTCTTCTGATAACAGGAGCGTGATATATTTGAGCATGAATATAAAACAATAAATTAATAAAAGGCACCCACTTTTCTACAAAACTTCCAAACTCTGAAACTAATTAGAAATAAACCAATCTTGGCAGATTGAAATGTAAGAGGAATGTGTTTGTCTCTGCTTGTGCACTGCATGCCTTGTGAAATCAGTGCTAGTGGGACAGTAATTACGGTAATTATCTGCACTGTGGGTGGCTCAAAGACAGAAAGAGGAGGAGAAGTTCACAAAATGATAGGAGAACACACATCTAGAAACAAACACGGTGTAATTACATAAATAAATGAATGGCCTTAAATATATATCCCTGAACATAACAATCACTGACTTCCTTTTTATATCTGCAAAGATTTCACATGAATTCGACACACTTAGAGACTCATATTGTTTTAACGGTGTTTATATGTGGTTTATGTTTATATCTGCAGCCTCAAGAACAGCATGAGTTATTCCCTCTGGGACACAGTTGTGCAGTATGCGGGAAAAACCAGTGCAAACGTCACAGGTATGACTTTTATATCTCTTTGAAGTATGGTCAATGTGCATCAAATAAAGAAAAAAGTAAATATATATATATATATAATGAGCATCATCAAATAGAAATGACTCCTGTATGATACATGCATACATGCATATTTTAAATAAAACATCAGCATATGTTAACTTAAAAAGTCTTCAAGCTAAATAAATCAAATTCAGTTCACTTTCTTGAGCAGCAAAACCAGGCAACGTTTCTCCAATCTTCTATTGGCCAGTTTTGGTGAGTCTGTGTGAATTGTAGCCTCAGTTTCCTGTTCTTAGCTGACAGGAGCGGCACCCGGTGTGCTCTTCTGCTGCTGTAGCCCATCCTCCTCAAGGTTGGACGTGTTGTGTGTTCAGAGATGCTCTTCTGCAGAGCTCGGTTGTATCGAGTGCTTATTTGAGTTACTGTTGCCTTTCTATCAGCTGGAACCAGTCTGGCCATTCTCCTCTGACCATCAACAAGGCATTTGCGCCCACAGAACTGCCGCTCACTGGATATTTCCTCTTTGTCGGAGCATTCTCTGTAAACCCTAGAGATGGTTGTGCGTGAAAATCCCAGTAGATCAGCCGTTTCTGAAATACTCAGAGCAGTCTGGCAGCAACAACCATGCCACGTTCAAAGTCACTAAAATCCCCTTTCTTCCCCATTCTGATGCTCAGTTTGAACTGCAGCAGATCGTCTTGACCATGTCTACATGCATAAATGCATTGAGCTGCTGCCATGTGATTGGCTGATTAGAAGTTTGAGTTAACGAGCAGTTGGACAGGTGTACCTAATAAAGTGGCCGGTGAGTGTATCCTAAAACCAATAATGTTTGTTTAATACAAGAGCAAACAAAAGTAAAAACAAACAAACAAAAATGGTGTATTTAGGAACCCTCAAATTACCTTATTCATTCATTCATTTTCTTGTCGGCTTTGTCCCTTTATTAATCCGGGGTCGCCACAGCGGAATGAACCGCCAACTTATCCAGCAAGTTTTTACGCAGTGGATGCCCTTCCAGCTGCAACCCATCTCCGGGAACAAATTACCTAATAAAACGAAAAAAAGTACAATATAAAGGACTTTCACAACACAAGTTCCCTTTCTCCCTACATCCAAAAACAAAGATTTAAACTACAGAAATAAATCAAATATGTGGCGTCTCACTTCCTACGTTCCATAACGTACACACCAATCTGGGTAAGTATAGTTTACAAAAGACAACAAATACATTCAAAGCAAATAGGTTCAAGAACACAGAGTGAAACAGAAACAGAGTGGTGCGCAATCGGCGACTATTAGGGTTGGGGATAACTGTTTGGGCCACTCTGCAACAATCAAGGTTTTTCGGTAACTTGCCCTGAGCCTGTTACAGCGCTGTGGAGGAATTTTGGCCGACTCATCTTTGCATAATTGTTCTAATTCAGCCACATTGGAGGGTTTTCAAGCATGAACCGCATATTTAAGGTCATGCCACAACATCTTAATTGGATTCAGGTCAGGACTTTGACTAGGCCACTACAAAGTCTTCGTTTCGTTCGCATAAACGTTTTCCATGTAGATGGAGAAGTGGTGAATCTTTCAGTCTCCAGTGGTTTGGCAATAGGTGTATGCAGTATAAATGTTTATCAACAAAATTCAGTCTGGAAAATCAGTTAAACATGAGGGGGGAAAGCTATTCATGTAATAAATAAGTAACATGCATATTTTTTGACACTGATATAATTTTACATTAGGTATTTTGACACCTAAAGGTTCTCCATACATGCTGCTGGAACTTTTTTTTAATTGTAATTCTACAGTTCAAGTCAGTATTTTTCGCCCCCTGTTTATTTTTTCCCTAATTTCTGTTCAACAGAGAGCAGATTTCCTCAACACATTTCTAATCATAATAGTTTCAATAACTCATCTCTAATAACTGATTTATTTTCTCTTTGTCATGATGACAGTAAATAATATTAGACTAGATATTCTTCAAGACACTTCTATACAGCTTATAGTGACATTTAAAGGCTTAACTAGGTTAATTAGGGTTGGGCAAGTTATTGTATAACGATGGTTTGTTCTGTAGCTAATCAAAAAAAATAGCAGAAAGGGGCTAATAATATTGACCTTAAAATGGTGTTTAAAAAATTAAAAACTGCTTTCATTCTAGCCGAAATAAAACAAATCAGACTTTCTCCAGAAGAAAAAAATATTATCAGACATACTGTGAACATTTCCTGAATCTGTTCAACATCATTTGAGAAATATTTAAAAAAGAAAACAAATTCAAAGGGGGCGAATAATTCTGACTTTATTTCTGATTTAAAATAATTTCACAAATAATTCAACATGACATGCATTTTGAGGGATTTAAAGGGATAGTTCATCCAGAAATGTCAATTCTGTTATCATTTATTCATGCTCCACTTGTTTGAAACTTGTTTGATTTATTTATTTATTTATTTATTTATTTATTTATTTATAATTATTTTTTTTGCTTCTGTTCAACACCAAGAAAGATATATTGGAGAATGCTGAGGGAAAACACCCATTGACATGCATATTATTTTATTATATATGGAAGAAATGGATATACCTGATGGATTTATGTTTATTACACAGGCCTACCCTTCTGCTGGAGAACTATCAGCCGTGGCTGAACCTGAAGGTGCCATCCAAAGTTGATGCCAGCATATCTGAGGTAGAACCAACATTACAGTCCATATATTAAAAAAAAAAAAATATATATATATATATATATATATATATATATATATATATATATATATATATATATATATATATATATATATATATATATATATATATATATATATGAGCAATATTACACGAGTAGCAGTGGTGGGAGGCGTACGTTAGTGCCCCAACCAGTGCCGATATACAGCATATCGCACTGCCAAGAGTGTGATATTACGTTTATACAACAGTTTGACGGCATAATTGTGTATATAAAAACAAAATCAAACATGGAGAGTCTCAAAAACCCTTTTGCATGAGGAACTACTTTCTTCCGCGTTGGATTCAAATCATAAGCTGATAGTTAAACCGCTGAGCGTGCATCTTTTACACTTCAGATCTGTAGTGTCTGCTTTCTGCTGGCTGTATGTGGGCGGAGTAATACACAAAGGGTAAAGAGGCTGTACGGGTGCTGATATTACTCACGGCTATCAGCCAATCAGATTCGAGAACCAGACAGAACTGTTGTATAAAAGTATATAAGTGATAGATTCAAATCAAACTAATCAACGCTTTGCTTGACTGATCTTCAGGTGTTGGAGTTAGTCCTAGAGAACTTTGTGTATCCGTGGTACAGGTATGGCGGATTTAAAACGTTCACTATTGTTGACTATCAGCTGGAAAAAATCTTGAATGTTCAAATCTTTTCTGATGTTTTTCCGTCAGGGATATTACAGATGACGAGGCGTGTGTGGATGAGCTGAGGCAAACCATCCGCTTCTTTGCTGCAGTCCTGGCTCACCGAGCACAAAGAGTACAAACACACTTCAGTTCTGATACATGCTTCGTAATGCTTCCTGTGGATTTATTATCTGATTACGTTTGCTTGTAGGTGGACGTTCCTTCTGTGGTGATGGACAAGATGATGAAAGCGGCTATGAAGCACATTGAGATCATCGCCAAAGCGCAGCAGAAAGGTGCGTCCTGAAAACGCTGAACACGAGAAGAGCTCATACACAGATTTATTCATAACACTTTACTTAAAGGAGTGTTCATAAGACGGGCATGAATACGGATGAGATTTAATGCATGCTTATAACAACTGCTCAGTTATGACATTTTAAATCAAAGATGACATTGTTTGTTATGACTTGACATAAACAGATATATCACAGCTTGACTTTACCAAGACAACAAAACCTCTCATAAATACTATATATGTCATGAATCTTATAACCGCATCATTATTAATATAATATAATATAATATAATATAATATAATATAATATAATATAATATAATATAATATAATATAATATAATATAAGATAAAAATATAACATAATAATATAATAAAATATAATAATATAATATAATAAAATATAATGTAATATAATATATTATAATATAAAAATATAACATAATATAATAATATATTGAAAACAATAATAATATAATATAATATAATATAAAAATATAACATTATTATATAATATAATATAATAAAATATAATGTAATGTAATATAATATAAAAATATAACATAATTTAATATCATATAATATCATATATTACTTTAATAATTTAATAATATATTATAATCTAATATAATATAATATAATATAATATAATATAATATAATGTAATGTAATATATTATAATATAAAAGTATAACATAATATAATATAATATAATATAATAATTTTATCATATAATATCATATAATATCATATAATATCATATATTACTTTAATAATTTAATAATATATTATAATATAATATAATCTAATATAATATAATATAATATAATATAATATAATATAATATAATAAAACATAATATAATAATTTTATAATATAATATCATAATATCATATAATATCATATATTAATAATATAATATAATATAATATAATATAATATAACATAATATAATATAATATAATATAATATAATATAATATAATATAATATAATATAATATAATATAAAATAACATAAAAGGTTGAAAACCCCTGATCTAATAAGCATAAGGAACGTTTATGGGTTTGACACCATCCAATAATTAGTTTTGTTAACTTGTGTTGTTGTGTGTGTGTGTGTGTGTGTGTGAGCAGTGAGGAACACAGATGGTCTCGAGCAGGCCGCGCTGGCCGAGTACGGGGCCGATCTGCACGTGGCCCTGCGGAGCCGCAAAGATGAGCTGCTGTACTTGCGGAAACTCACAGAGCTGCTGTTTCCATACGTCATGCCTCCCAAAGCCACAGACTGCAGGTACGTCTCACACACTCACACTAGTGCCATTATTAAAGTCCAGATTCATGCTTGTCAACATTAGATATTACACGGCTGCCTGGAATACTGGATTCTGATTGGTCAGTCGCGACAGATTGATGACATTAACAGGATCGAGCCTGACTGCGTTCTCTCCTAAGACTGCTGACCCCGCGACCCGGCCCCGGAAAAGCGGCAGAAAATGAACGAATAAAAAAATCTTCCACATATCTCAGAAACGGTATAGCAAAACATTTTGTCGGTTTTAAAACCTTCACCTTTCCAAACCACGGTATACCTTTAAAACGGTTATCGTCCCAAGCATATTCGAATATCTTAATCTTGATCTCTTCTAATATGTAACGATTCAAGCACGACTTCACCAACGCTAAATAAAGTCTCAGGTAACTGTGGAAAGTGTGAAGAGGATTTGTTGGTGTTTCTCTGTGATGTTCATGTAAGCTGTGATTATTTCTCAGATCTTTGGCTCTGCTGATTCGGGAGGTCATGACCGGCTCTGTTTTTCTCCCAATAATGGACTTTGTGGCTGATCCTGTGAGTGTAGCGACTCTCCTTAAACATGTTTGTGCAATATCTGCATTGGATGCATTGGATGTTGTTTTCTTGTGCGTGTGAACGTTGTATTTGTTAACGGTGCAGTATGTAGCTGTATTAGGGCCCAATCATACACCCGGCGCAGTGTGGCACATGGAGCGGCGCAGTAGTCTTTTGATAGTTTCAGCTTGGCGCATGAGTGGTTTTGAGGCGTTGTGCTTCGCTGTTTAAATAGCAAATGCATTAGCGCTCATATGTGCGCCCATAGGCGTTCTGGTCTAAAAAGGAAGGCGTTCTGAGGCGGACCGCTGGCGCGTCGCTATTTTGAGAAACTATAATAGATTTTTCATTAGACCAAAACAAACCCGGTCTAAACTCCAGCGCAGAGTTGCGCCTCGCTTACACACTGCCTAATACACACAAGAGAGCAATAGGCAAATATCTTTACATATGAAAAAATTTAAATATTAAGGATATATAAAGGATATAATAAGAATAGATATAGAATATAAATATAAAGGATTAAAATATTACAAAACATATTATTTTCTAGCCTACATAAATATGAAAAATCACTGCTTTCATGTCTTCTTCATCTCGGGAGGCTTTTTCAGTTCATTCATCACAATTAGCTTTTGTATAATGTTATTATTATTAGCAGTATTATTTATTATATCCATATTTATATTTGTCTTATTAAAAACAAGCTTAGATTTGCCCATCTGCAGGTTTTAGACCATATGGGGCGCAGCATGTGTTTTAGGATATAACTCAGGTTTCTGAGCACATTTTTGTTATTATTATTCATTTATTCGTTTGCTGGAAATTAGAACTGAATTTAGAAATAGTTTTGAAACGAATATTTGCGCTTAACAAACAAAATTATTTATTTATAGGCTAATTGATGTCTGTGCGTAAAGGTTTCCCTATCCAAGAGCAAAAGTGAAAGTGATCCATTATCTCTCATTCTCACGCAGTAGATGCTCTGTTTAACAGTTTTCTGTTATAAAACTGTGAACTGTTTGCTTATCAAATGCTCAGTTTTTCCACTTAGACTTACTTTGCGTCCTGTAAATAGCGAATGCGCTCTTGGTGTGACGCAGCTGGCTCTTAAAGGGAATGGGAGATGAGACTCTGATTGGTTTATTCTCAAAACACACCTATAACTCATTAAGAAAATAAACTCAACCCTTTTAGACCATGCGCCACAGCGCAAGGCAGATTTCCCGTCCTTAAATTAGCAAAAACGCGTCCTGACACACCCTGAAAGCGTTTGCGCCCTGCGTTTTGCGCTCTGCGCATGGACTGTCAAAATAGAGCCCTTAATGTTTAAAATGCAAACTCTTGTTCACGCTTAAATATCCCCAAACTGTTTCTGTTTACAAAATTCACACATACAATTAATGTCACATGGTTATCTTATTATTATTATTACTGTTTTGGACTTGCATAGTTCTTTGTCGCACACACTTATTAGGTTAAACTGGCAGTGGGCTGGTTATAGAGGTACAAAGACAGGCATTCTAACACAGAACACGCATCCTCAGACTTCAGCATTGTTTTCCAGACAATCAAGAATGTTCAATGAGCATGTTTCTGAAATATCTGCACGCATATCATGGTATTTGTATGCTTCAGAAGAGTCAAAAACCCCCATACAGCAGCTTTACTCAGCATTGTTGTCTGCTTTTCGCAGGACACAGTGAATCACATGGTGCTCATCTTCATCGATGATTCTCCAGTAAGTGCTTTAACCACATCATCACAGCTTTTCCCATCTACAGTGTTTTGATGTTGTTCATACGTGATTGTGCTGTTAGCCTGAACCCGTGACGGACCCTCCATCTACCCTGGTGCCCTTCCTGGAGAGGTTTGCAGACCCGCGCACAAAGAAGTCGTCAGTGAGTACCCCTCTGTCACCTCAGCATGACGGTGGACTGTTTTGAAGCGAATGGAGGGTGCTGATGATGATGAGGGTTTCTTCTGTCAGGTGCTGAAGCTGGATCTGAAGGAGATCAGAGAGCAGCAGGATCTGTTGTTTCGCTTTATGAGCTTCCTGAAGGAGGAAGGAGCGGTGCACGTCCTGCAGTTCTGCCTCACTGTCGGTGAGCACATGTGTTCTACTTCTAACATGCACACTATTCAGGGGTGCATGCATGACTCGGTTATCTGGGATTGATTATTAAAGATTTGACAGGATCCAATAGGGTATATGCGGAGCTAGTGTTTCTTCCCATACTGATACACTTCCAGTGAATGGTTAATGTGACTGTTTATCCATTTTATACGGTTCCTTTTACAGCATCGATGTTGTAATTTAATTAAATACAATCAGTTAAACAGATTTTGGCATTCATTTAGTTGTTCAAGCGTAAAAGGAGACAAAGTTTGTTTACTTGCACGCGTCCGTCACAATCGGCAGGCGAACACAGAAGCTCCATTGTGCTTCAGATTTGTGGGGTAAAACAAATGTTCCTATTTTAAAGACATGGCAGGGAAACGTAGTTTAATGCAGTGCTTTCCTGTACAATCCGAAAATAACTCTATATAAGAAATCAGTCAGCCAGTTTAGATTTTTAAAGAGAACAGACCTTAAACACTTAGGGCTCTATTTTGACGGTCCATGCGCAGAGCGCAAAACGCAGGGCACAAACGCTTTCAGGACGTGTCAGGACGCGTTTTTGCTAATTTAAGGTCAGGAAATCTGCCTTGCGCCGTGGCGGATGTTTTAAAAGGGTTGAGTTTATTTTCTTAGTGAGTTATAGGTGTGTTTTGAGAATAAACCAATCAGAGTCTCATCTTCCATTCCCTTTAAGAGCCAGCTGCGTCGCGCCAAGAGCGCATTGCTATTAACATGACGTAAAGTAAGTTCACTTTCGCTTTTGCTCTCGTGGATAGGGGAACCTTACTGCACAGACATCAATTAGCCTATAAATAATTAATTTCGTTTGTTAAGCGCAAAGATTTGTTTCAAAACTATTTCTAAATTCAGTTCTAATTTCCAGCAAACTAATAAATGAATAATAATAGCAAAGTTTGGTCAAAATACTGAGTTATTTCCAAATACACATGCTGTGCCCCATATTGTCTAAAACCTGCAGGTGGACAAATCTAAGCTTGTTTTTAATAAAACAAATATAAATATGGATATAATAAATAATACTGCTAATAATAATAAATTAAACAAAAGCAAATTGAATGAACTGAAAAAGCCTCCCGAGATGAAGAAAGTATGAAGGCAGTGGTTTTTAAATTCATGTAGGCTAGAAATTAATATGTTTTTTTAATATTTTAATAATTTATATTTATATCCTATATATATCCTTATTATATCCTATATATCCTTAATATATTATATCTTTTTCATATGTAAAGATATTTGCGTATTGCATCTTGTGTGTAGTGTGTAAGCCAGGCGCACTTTGCGCCAGACAATAGACCGACTTTGTTCTGGTCTAAAGATCAGACTATTTACAGTTTCTCAAAATAGCAACGCGCCAAAACACGCCTGCTTTTTTAGAGCAGAACGCCCATGGGCGCACATATGAGCGCAAATGCATTTGCTATTTAAACAGCGTGGCGCAACGCCTCAAAATGACCCTTGCGCCGAGCTTAAAGTAGTAAAAGACTGTTGCGCCGCGCCTTGCACCACATTGCGCCGGGTGTATGATAGGGCCCTTAAACAAACTATTTCTATTGGTCATTTTGTGTGTGCAAAGTTATCAATAGTTGTGAAAGGGTTTTCTCTATTCAGCATTACAACAGTCAACAGTGTACGTTCTCAGGTTTTGCACATGTTCTTGCTCAGCTGGATGTTGGACTCATGACAAGCTAATGGATACAGGCTTGAGCAATGTGCACATGCCTAAGCATCCACAGCTGTAGACTTAAGCGCCTGGTGCTGAGGTCTTCTAGTCCTGCGAGAGGCATCTGGAAGTTCTCCTAGCATCTTTATCTGGCGGTGCAAGACATTTGTTTAATTTAGACCATCTGAATCCAAAGAAGGGCGGTGTGGTGGCTCACTGTGGCCTCACAGCAAGAAGGTTGCTGGTTTGAGCCCATGCTGGGTCAGTTGACATTTCTGTGTGGAGTTTGCATGTTCTCCCCGTGTTGGTGTGGGTTTTCTCTGGGTGCTCCGGTTTCCCCCACAGTTCAAACACATGCGGTGTAGGGGAATTGATTAACTGAATTGGCCGTAAATTAGTGTGTGCGGAGAGTGTATGAGTGTTTCCCAGTGATGGGTTGCAGCTGAAAGGCCATCCACTGTGTAAATCATATGCTGGATAGGTTGGCGGTTCATTCATGGTGGCGCACCACCCATGGATAGACAGTTGAAGTCAGAATTATTAGCCCCCCTGTATTATTAGCGCCCCTGTTTATTTCTTTCCCCAATTTCTGTTTAATGGAGGGAAGATTGTTTCAGCACATTTCTAAACATGATAGTTTTAAAAAACTTATTTCTAATAACTGATTTATTTTCTCTTTGTCATGATGACACTAAATAATATTAGACTAGATATTCTTCAAGACACTTCTATACAGCTTAAAGTGACATTTAAAGGCTTCACTAGGTTAATTAGGGTAACTAGGCAGGTTAGGGTAATTAGGCAAGTTATTGTATAGTGATGGTTTGTTCTGTAGACTATTGAAAAAAAATTGCTTAAAGGGGCTAATAATTTTGTCTCAAAAATGGTGTTTAAAAAATTAAAAACTGCTTTTATTCTAGCCTAAATAAAACAAATAAGACTTTCTCCAGAAGAAAAAATATTATCAGACATACTGTGAAAATTTCCTTGCTCTGTTAAACATCATTTGGGAAATATAAAAAAAAAAAAAAAATTCAAAAGGGGTGAATAATTCTGACTTCAACTGTACATATACAATGTAAATATCTATGACTGTTACCGGCCTAATGTTGGAATCCAGCGTTGCTGTTTCCAAATAAATGACGGGACGCAGCTGCAAAGATGATCAGTACTGTTCATATCAACACACAAAATTCACTCAGTGCACTGGACTAATCTACCAGATGCAGCGACCCGACTCAAATAACAGCAATGCAATGCATCCCACAAGCCTAATGAGAGTCATTCATATGAACTGATATAACATTAAATAAAAACGAATAAACCTCTGAATGCATGTTCATTAAATAATCTTGAAACAATTATTATGAATTTACGTTCACTATAATTGTGTAATATGGTGTAATTTAAATTATTATTATTATTATTATTATTATTATCATAAAGTCTTGTATGCAACTATAAGTAGAGCTTGAGAAATTGGATCTTTAAATGACAACTTTTTTCTTCAGCATTTTTGTATCATTCATTCATTTTCTTCTCGGCTTAGTCCCTTTATTAATCTGGGGTCGCCACAGCGGAATGAACCAACAACTTATCCAGCAAGTTTTTACGCAGTGGATGCCCTTTCAGCCGCAACCCATCTCTAGAAAACATCCACACACATTCACACACACACTCATACACTATGGACAATTTAGCCTACCCAGTTCACCTGTACCGCATGTGTTTGGACTGTGGGGGAAACCGGAGCACCCGGAGGAAACTCAAGCGAACGCAGAGAGAACATGCAAACTCCACACAGAAATGCCAAATGGCCCAGCCGAGGCTGGAACCAGCTACCTTCTTGCTGTGAGGTGGCAGCACTACCTACTGCGCCACTGCGTCGCCGCATATTTGTATCATATAATTAAAATAATAAGGTTCTATAAGTCAGGGGTTCCCAAACTTTTCAGCCCGCGACCCCCAAAATAACAATGCCAGTGACTCGCGACCCCCAATATCCTCTGAGGTGGTTATAAATACAGAAACCTTGCATGCAATGACGCAGACACACCAATTAAATTTGTGTCAGTGCTTAAAATGTGCCAGAAAGTATAACCTGATGTTATAAAATCAAAATGCATCTGACGCTATTGCTGCCTTTAATATAATGTAATTACCCCAGGGGTCGCAATCCAATAAAAATAGTAACTATAAGCTACTATAGTAACTATATAGTATATAGTAACTATAAACGACTATTTTTATTTTCAGTATAGTTATGGATAAAATATGTTAAATCTTATGGTTTAATAAAAATAAATAGATTTTTGGAAATCACCATGCGACCCCCCTTCATTGCCCCGCGACCCCTCGGGGGATCCCGTCCCCACTTTAAGAACCACTGCTATAAATTAATAATCTTCAGAATTTTTTTGTGGGGTGAAAAAAATCGATTCAAAATCATGAATAATTTTTGAATCTGGGATTTTTAAAATAGGCCGTGTCTTATTTAGTTATTTGAACATGACTTTTTAATATTGGTTCAAATGTTTGAATATTGCTCTGACATTTTGTATGTAAATATTAAGAGTACGTGAAATGTTAAGTACAGTAAGGAGTTTCATGGTGCTACATATGCTGGGGTGTGAATTACAAACGTGCTTGATTTAAATAAGCAGTGCTTGAATCTGCTGTTCATGAAAACATGGAAACCCTGCTTAGAACAAAACAGTGCTCAACATATCTCATTAGTCTCATTTAAACGAATATTTAGGAATTGGAAGCTATTATATTTGTGCATCTACATAAGATTAGTCAGTACTGAAGCCAAATCTGCAGCTAATCCAACAAAATAACATGATAACCATTGAAAGTTAGCACACCCAAGCCTATAGGTCAGGGAAAAATATTAATAAAAACATTAAAAATAGGAATAATCAAGAGAAGCAACAAAATAAAATAAAAAATTGCTGAAATTTTGTTGTTTGTAAAGTAGTTTGACAATATTTTGCATGAATTTAAATGTATTGACTTCATTCATTTTCTTGTCGGCTTAGTTCCTTTATTAATCCGAGGTCGCCACAGCGGAATGAACCGCCAACTTATCCAGTAAGTTTTTACGCAGCGGATGCCCTTCCAGCTGCAACCCATCTCTGGAAAAATGTATTGCCTTTATATTTCTAAAGTTGCTCAGTGACTACAATGTTATTTTAATAAATATATCCGTTTAATAAATCCGTTTGTTCAAATGCACCATGATATATGACTTCTGTTCACTGGGAAATGGATCAAAATCTACATTTTCAAAATGGAGAGTCTCTGTTTATCTATGTACTCTATATATTTCTGCTGAGCGCTGTAGATAAGCCAACAATATAAGTTGTGTTTTGTGTGCAGAGGAGTTTAATGACCGGATCCTCTGTCCTGATCTGAGCGACGACGAGAAGCAGCGTCTGCACGAGGAGGTGAAGAAGATCTACGAGACGTACTGTCTGGAGGAGAGCATCGACAAGATCAGCTTCGACCCCTTCATCATCGAGGAGATCCACAGCAGTGAGTTTGAGCCCTGCAGCAGCAGCTGTTCTCTCTCTCTCTCTGACCTCTGACCTCTGTGTGCTCCTGTCTCCTGCAGTCGCTGAGGGCCCGTACACCGGCGTGGTGAAGCTCCAGACCATGCGCTGCCTGTTCGAGGCCTACGAGCATGTGCTGTGTCTGCTGGAGAAAGTCTTCACCCCCATGTTCTGCCACAGTGATGAGGTGAGATCCTCTGCTGCACTCTAATAAATCATCATGCAGTTATTATTATTTTTTGCTGATATATTGCACATGGCGAATCGTCTCTCTCTCTGTTTCTTCTTCAGTATTTTCGCCATCTGCTCTGCGGCGCCGAGTCTCCAGCTAGAAATTCAAAGCTCAACAGGTGAGCCTCTTCCACTTGTATGTAGAGTCGGGGGGAAAAGCTGCAACACAACAGCATTACACTCATTATTAGTGTAACAGTCAGGGTAATGGGTGTGGAGCCAATTAAACACAAACATGCAAAACTAATGATTAAAAGTGGCAAAGAATAAAGACATCAAACTACATATATTGAATATTTTGGGGCCAAAGTTGCCATCAAATGATGCAAATATGCCTCAGGAGATTTCTGGCTCCCATTATGAGCCAGATCAGTCTCAATAATAATACATTTGCATTCATAAAATTCACAAATGCAAAGCACAATTCATAAATGCACAACACAATTCATCAATTCAAAAGTAAAATGCCTTAATATTTCCCAATATGCATCTTGCATAAACACATTTAACATGTTTACACAGTCATGTGAAGTTCTTGCATGACTTTCCTCATGCATTTATCAATTTTGTTAGATATGTGGAGTCTTCTGAATTATTGTGCGATATTTTCCAGACCTTTCTGGCAGGACGAGATTCGTTTACGTTTTTATTAGGGGATGTTCTGTTTAGCCAATCGCAGTGAGTTTTTCATCCACCTGTCAAAACACTCAAAATATAGAAATCCTGCCTCATTTTCTCACTTTATAAGATGTAATCAGAGCACTGTTTTCTGTTTAGGGGATTTAAGACAGTAACAGTCATCCACAAATATCAAAATACAGCTGAAGTCTGAATTTTTCGCTCCCTTGTATATATCCTTTCCTGCAATTTCTGTTTAACGGAAACCCATTTCTAATAACTGGTTTATTTTCTCTTTGTCATGAGGACAGCACATAATATTAGACTAGATATTCTTCAAGACACTAGTATTCAGCTTAAAGTGGCATGTAAAGGCTTCACTAGGGTAATTAGGGTAAAGTTAGGGTAATTAGGCAAGTCATTGTATAACAGTGGTTTGTTCTTGAGACAATCCAACACTAATATTGCTGAAGGGGGCTAATAATATTGAGCTTAAAATGGCTTTGAAACAGTTAAAAACTAGCCCATATAATTTAAATGAGACTTTTTCCAGAAGAACAAATATTCTAGGAAATACTGTGAAAATTTCCTGAATCTGTTCAACATCGTTTGGGAAATATTTGATTTGAAAAAATTCAACACAAGCTCATTGTGAATATGTACCCCCGTATGCATTTCTGAAGAGCACTAATTATGTAGCCAGATGTACGCATGGCTACATTTCGTCTCTAAAACAGACTCTACGGGACGATATGACACCGCAGATGACTGCTGTTTCTTTTCACGCTGACATCTGACCGATTACCTCCCTGTGGACGTCTTGTCCACTGTTAACTGTTTGTCCAGTGGCTCGCCGCATATGTCGGCAGACTTGAGACACAGGGTGGCGTTGACCGCGATGACAGAGTTTGAGCTCGGCGAAGACCAGTTCCAGAAAGCAGATAAAACAAAAACAAAAGGCAAAAAATTAAATAAACTAGTCAATAACAGGGTGAGAATGTGGTAAAATCTGAAAACGGGGTAAAAATCAGGCTGTTGCGAGGGCTCTTCTTTTTCAGGATGGCTTTTGAAAACACTGTCGGTTGGGTTTACGGAAGGAGGTGGATGTGGGGATAAGTCATTCAGTCAGTCAGTCAGTCGACAGCGGCCTCTACTGGATTTATATGAAAACAGCAGCTGTTAATGACAATCGCAAGAGAAATTTGACATCTGAAAAACAGATACAGCGCCCTCTGGTGGATTCGCAAAAACAACAACTGCAAAAAATGCAAAACTCCTGGGACATATTTGGCGTTCTCCAGAAATGTATACAGGTGTAAGTAGCAATAGTTTGCCTGGGATGAAAAATACACAGGAGGGTAAATAGTTTTGACTTCAACTATATATATATATATATATATATATAATGTTTTTTGTTATCGTGTTAAATATCATCTTTCTTTGCGTGTGTGAGAGGAAAAGCTCATCCAGCATGCATTAGCGTGGGCTTCATTATCAGACAGTGAGAATTATTGGCCGTGTATGTGTGTGTCCAGCACATCGTAACCCCTCTTCCTGTTATTCCAGGAATTTGAGTTTGGATGATTTAAGGTAAGTGTGTTGTTGAGGTTCTAGTGAATGTTGTCCAGTGCTCTCACTGCATGCTGTATTTCAGCTGCCTGAACGCCACCGGAGACGTTTACAGGGGCAGTTCACTGAAAAATGTACATTTACTCATCATTTACTCTCACTCAAGTGGTCCAGACCTGTTTGAGTGTCTTCTTTGAACACAGAAGAAGATATTTGCTGAAAACCTGTAACCATTGACTTCCATACTACGTACTATGGAAGTCAATGGTTACAGGGTTTTTGCATTCTTCTAAATATCTTCTTTTGTGTTCAAGAGAAGAAAGAAACTCAAGGTTTGTGAAGGGAGAGTAAATAATGGCATAATTTTCATTTTTGGGTGAACTATCCCTTTAATAGGAGTGCTGGGCAGTATATCAGATTAAAATACATTCAGTTTTATTATTATTATTATTTTTTTTTTTTAAAAATTATTATTATTATCACGTATATTTGTGTCACTACACTTAACAGTGGCAGCAGTTCTAGTTTCAAGCCATTTCCTTTCCTGATTTCACAGAAGGAAAATGTGTCTATATTTAACTTTTTGATATTTACTGTATCTGAAGGGTTATAATAATCATAAAGCATCCAGGTTTAAATAAAGAAAACACCAGACTCCCTTTTTGATTTTAAGCTTTTGGCCTCAATTGTTTGAAATGTCAAATAAATTTATAGAATTTTTTTTTTATTATTTTTATTTTTTCAGATATATTGCCCAGCCCTATTTGTAGGGTCTTGTTATTATTATTTATTTATTATTTATTAGTAAAAATCATCAGAGTTCTGAATTGTTGTTGTTGTTGTTTTGGTTTCTTTGTTTACACTTCAGCAAGATTCAAGGAGGTTATAAGCACACACACAGCGGATAAAAAAGTATTGAACACATCACCATTTTTCTCAGAAAAATATATTTATATTTTTATTTTTTTATTAAATGCATGTCGGAAACTATCAAAGTAACCCATACATACAAAGAAAACAAAACTAATGAGTATAGAAGTTACATTATGTATAATAAAGTGAAGCGACACATGGAAAAGGTATTGAACACATGAAGAAAGGGAGGTGTAGAGAGGTATGGAAGGCCCAGACAGCAGCTGAAATCTCTCAGTATTAATCATTTTTAACAGCAGACGGCGCTCTAGTTTTTAATAGCAGAAGGAGCTCTAGGCTAGTTTATAACTGAGGGTGGAACTCTAGGCTAGTTTATAACAGCATATGGTGCTATACGCTAGCTTTACAATAGCACATGGTGCTCTAGGCTGGTTTCTAATAGCAGATGGTGTTCTAGGTTAGTGTTTAACAGCAGATAGTGCTCTAGGCTAGTGTTTAAGAGCAGATGGTGCTCTAGGCTGGTTTTCAACAGCAGATGGAGCTCTAGGCTAGTTTATACCAGAAGATGGTGCTTTAGGCTAGTTTATAATGAAGATGGAGCTCTAGGCTAGTTTATAACAGAAGATGGAGCTCTAGGCTAGTTTATAACAGAAGATGGAGCTCTAGGCTAGTTTATAACAGAAGATGGTGCTCTAGGCTAGTTTATAACAGAAGATGGAGCTCTAGGCTAGTTTATACCAGAAGATGGAGCTCTAGGCTAGTTTATAACAGAAGATGGAGCTCTAGGCTAGTTTATAACGGAAGATGGAGCTCTAGGCTAGTTTATAACAGAAGATGGAGCTCTAGGCTAGTTTATAACAGAAGATGGAGCTCTAGGCTAGTTTATAACAGAAGATGGAGCTCTAGGCTAGTTTATAACGGAAGATGGAGCTCTAGGCTAGTTTATAACAGAAGATGGCGTTCTAGGCTAGTTTATAACAGAAGATGGAGCTCTTGGCTAGTTTATAACAGAAGATGGAGCTCTAGGCTAGTTTATAACAGAAGATGGTGTTCTAGGCTAGTTTATAACAGAAGATGGTGCTATACGCTAGCTTTATAAAAGCACATAGTGCTCTAGGCTGGTTTCTAATAGCAGAAAGTGCTCTAGGCTAGTTTTTAACAGCAGATGGCGCTCTAGGCTGGTTTCTAATAGCAGATGGTGTTCTAGGTTAGTGTTTAACAGCAGATAGTGCTCTAGGCTAGTGTTTAAGAGCAGATGGTGCTCTAGGCTGGTTTTCAACAGCAGATGGAGCTCTAGGCTAGTTTATACCAGAAGATGGTGCTTTAGGCTAGTTTATAATGAAGATGGAGCTCTAGGCTAGTTTATAACAGAAGATGGAGCTCTAGGCTAGTTTATAACAGAAGATGGAGCTCTAGGCTAGTTTATAACAGAAGATGGTGCTCTAGGCTAGTTTATAACAGAAGATGGAGCTCTAGGCTAGTTTATACCAGAAGATGGAGCTCTAGGCTAGTTTATAACAGAAGATGGAGCTCTAGGCTAGTTTATAACGGAAGATGGAGCTCTAGGCTAGTTTATAACAGAAGATGGAGCTCTAGGCTAGTTTATAACAGAAGATGGAGCTCTAGGCTAGTTTATAACAGAAGATGGAGCTCTAGGCTAGTTTATAACGGAAGATGGAGCTCTAGGCTAGTTTATAACAGAAGATGGCGTTCTAGGCTAGTTTATAACAGAAGATGGAGCTCTTGGCTAGTTTATAACAGAAGATGGAGCTCTAGGCTAGTTTATAACAGAAGATGGTGTTCTAGGCTAGTTTATAACAGAAGATGGTGTTCTAGGCTAGTTTATAACAGAAGATGGTGCTATACGCTAGCTTTATAAAAGCACATAGTGCTCTAGGCTGGTTTCTAATAGCAGAAAGTGCTCTAGGCTAGTTTTTAACAGCAGATGGCGCTCTAGGCTGGTTTCTAATAGCAGAAAGTGCTCTAGGCTAGTGTTTAACAGCAGATGGCGCTCTAGGAAAGTTTATAATAACAGAAGGCGCTCTAGGCTATTGTTTAACAGAGAATCGTGACAGAATATTGATGCATTTTGAAAATTTCAGAATCAGTACAGAATTGATTTCTCAAACATTTTTGTGCCACAGCTCTGTTCTTGGTAAATTTTATCCTCTTTAGTAAAAAAATTTAATCATTCCCTGACTTTATATTATGTTTTATATGACCAAAGATTATGTTAAAAACTCAGAAAATAGAGCATTATGAGCTCTTTAAACAGCTTCTTAGTGTTAATACCAAAAAAAGCTAGTGGTGCAACATTCATACAGTTTGATTTCACTATAATTTCATCTGGGAACGGCTGTATATAATATTATTTTGAACTGTATTAGTTCAGTTTGTTAATGCATTCACATTACACATTGTCAGTTTAAAAAGTAACCTGAGTTTAGCTGTAATTAAAGCAGCTCTGCAGTTGAATAAAGTCTTGTTGTTCAGTTCAGTTCAGTGTTTATTCAGGTGCTCAATAACACAGCCAGTGTTGCGAAATTCATCAGTTATGAAAAGCATCGAGTTTTAGAGCAGGAAACACTCTTCTCTTCCAGCTTGGATCAGTTCAGTTTGACAGGACGATCACGAGAAGGATCGTGAACTTTTAGCAAGTCATTGTCACACTAACCAGTTTTCAGATGAAAACTTATGTAATCCCCGGACTTGCAGAGGGAGTTGTTAGCTTTTCTTGGCGGTGAAGTTAATAGCTCAACTCCCTGCTGAGATGATGTGTTTTTCTGTGTTTTTATCTCTTTGAGCTTCCTGTGAGCAGAGATCGCTGTGGAAACCCTTGACTGGGTTTACACTAGTGTGCTTTCATTTTAAAGCAGCATCTTACAACACTTGTAGGCTACGTCTACACTAATATAGACATTTTTCCAGTATTTTCCATGTGCAAAATAAGGGCTGGTTTATGTGTGGGCCTGAAAATACCCGCTGACATGGCTAAAATACACCACGTAACTGCTTACATTCTGTTTTCCACAAATGTTCATTTACTTTGTCAGTAAACCTCATGTTTATCCATGTGCCCCATTACTTCTGCTGGGATTTGCTTCATTTAGACTTGACATCGTCCCTTTGAGCAGAAATAGTGTCAGTAGCAACAGGTCCCCGTTGGTCAATGCCCGAGCCACATCCACATCCAACACCACACGTCGGCCCACAGTTTTACCACTTCCCAGGAAGTAAGTCTCGGGTGGAAAGATCTTCCCAGCCTTCTGCTCATCTAAGACCAGTTTGTGCATAAAACAGGAGGATGTTTATGGTGGTAAAACTGGTCTGAGTTCAGCACAGGCAGCAGGACTGATGCATGGGTTTACTGGACTGTGTGCATTGCCTTGCATTGTTTGAGCCTGTATCTGTTCTCTTCCTGTTCATTTCAAAGCATTTTGGTATACCCATCATTTCCTGTGATCATGTTTTCATTGTATTCTTCGCCCTGTCATTGGTTGTGTGACTATGATGCAGTGAAGAGTGTTGATTGTGTCTTTTTAAAGTGCCCTCGTTATGCTTTTCTAAATGTAAATGCTGATTGGCCATTCCATACTTAAACTCTTTAGAAACATGTGGGTTTGCTTGGTATTGATTAGTCAATCATCCAATAATTCAATAATCCAATTAAACAACCAACTAACCAACCAGCCAATCACCCAGTCAATCACCCAATCAAACAACCAATCAATCAGCCAATGAAATAACAAATCAATAAATAAAACAATCAATGATTCAGTCTATCAAGAAATTAATCACTCAAACAACCAATCAAAACAACTAACCAAACAATCAATCAATCCATCCATCAATCAATTAATCACTCAATCAAACCACAAATCAATCAATAACCCAACCAAAGCAACAAACCAAACAATCTGTCAGGCCACTGATCAATAAGCAAACCAATCAGTCAATCAAATAACCAACCAATCAATAAAATAACAAATCAAACAATCAATCAAACAAAAAATCAATCAATAAACCAATCAAACAACCAACTAATCAACCAGTCAATCACACAATCAAACAGCTAATCCATCAACCAATCTAAAAACCAATGAAGCAACTAATCCTATCAATAAAACTATCAAACAATCAGCTAATAAATCTAGATAGTAATCACTCAAACAAACAATTAACCAATCAAACAACCAAACAAACATTCCATCAACACAAACAAACAATCAATTAATCAACCAACCAACCAATCTATAAATCAAACAACCAACCAATCAAACAAATCAATCAGTCAATAAATCAAACAATGAATCAACCAACTAACCAATCAATAAACCAATCAAACCATCAATCAAACATCCAATCTATCTTAAACATTCAAGCAACCAATCAGTCAGTCACCCAGTCAAACCACTAATCAATAAACAAATCAGTCAATCAAACAACAAATCAATCGATCAATCAGCAAACTGATCAAACAAACAACCAGTCAATCACCCAATTAAGCTACCAATCAATAAACAAATCAAACAACCAATCACCCAATCAAACAACCAATTAATAAACAAATCAACCAGTCAATGACCCAATCTAAAAACCCATGAAACAACTGAACCAATCAATAAAACTATCAAACAATCAGCTAATCAATCAAGATAGTAATCGCTCAATCAAACAATTGACCAATCAAACAACCAAACAAACATTCCATCAACACAATCAACCAACCAATCATTAAACCAATCAAACCATCAACCAACCTGTCAATCAAACAATGAAATAATCAATCAATTAATCAATTAATCAGTCGATCAATCAAGGTATTAATCACTTAACCAACCAAATGTAAGAGATTATAATACAGTTAACAATTCATAAGTAATCCACCCAGCTCTGTAATTTTTCTACCATCAATATATCATGACTTAATTTTTGTTTAGTGATGTGCATTGCTAAAAATGTAGTTTGAATATTTCTTTTTTTTTTTAAACCGTCAGATTGTAGATAGTTCCATCTTGGCCAAATATTGTCCTATACCAAACCATATATGAATGGAAAGCTTATATTTATTTCAGTCATAAATATAAATCTATATTACAGATCTATATATAGGCTAAAAATCTTAATGCGTACATCAAAATGTACCTTCATGATTGGTTTTTGGTCTAAGATCATATAAAATGAAGACTTGTACAAGACGCAGATCTGCATTTCATTAATTAGCACAGACTAAACAGCAGCACACCACTGAGGAAATGCTGTAACTGGGGCACTTTAAGCAATAGTTATGACTCTGTAAAACAACTACTGCTGTGTGTTTTTGCGAACAGGAACACGTCAAAGCGCGGCGAGTCGTTTGGGATCAGCCGTATCGGCAGCAAGATTAAAGGTGTGTTTAAGAGCAGCACGATGGAGGGTGCGATGCTTCCACAATACGCCATGATTGAAGGAGAAGACGACACGGTGAGGAAAAACTCTATGCTCAACTGGAACTAAAAATATGTCAATACTACAGTTTCTGCATTCTGTACTAGTGAGCAGTAACCCTATAGGCTTTGGAATCAATTTGGATACAGTACACTCTAAAAAAATAATTATATTATTAATAATTCCTTACATTTTTATAGCACATTTCTGCACATTCAAAGCGCTTTACACATTTGGGGGATCTCCTCATCCACCAGCAGTGTGCAGCATCCACCTGCAGCAATATTGCCTCAGACCGCACACCACACACCAGCTGATTGGTGGAGAGGAGACAGAGTGATGAAGCCAATTATGATATGGGGAGGGTTAGGAGGTCATGATGGACAGAGGCTAGCGGGCAAATTTGGCCAGGATGCCGAGGTTAAACCCCTACTCTTTTTCCAAGGACATCCTGGGATTTTTAACAACCACAGAGAGTCAGGACCTCAGTTTAAGGTCTCGTCTGAAAGATGGCACTCACAGTGCAGTATAGAGTCCCCATCAATATACTGAGGTGTTTGAACCCATACAGACCACAGGTTGAGCGCCCCCTGCTGACCTTGCTAACGCCACTTCTGGCAGCAACCTAGCTTTCCCATGTGGTCTCCCATTCAGGTACCCAGCATTTGGGTTTGTATTAACCCAAATGCTGGGTCAAATATGGACAAACCCAACAGTTGGGTAAAAATAATGTAATTAAAAAAAAAAGATGTTGGGTTTGTCCATACTTGACTCAACATTAGGGTAATACAAACCAGGGTTTTTTTAGAGTGTACCAACAACTAATTATTATTCATTATAATTACACGATCTTCAAAGCACTAGCATGTATCCTTCTGATTGGCAGTTGCATCCAGCTTCCCATTGATTGGCTACAGTGCTCATCGCTCAGAAACCTGTTGTAAATACAGGCAAGCAAGAATAAAACAACACTATTGTTTTTGCTCTTACTTTTCATGAGCTGAATTAAAAGATCCAAAACTTGTTCCAAGTACACCCAAAGCTTATTTCTCCCAAATATTGTTCACACATTTTGTCACCTTAGAACTATAAGGGTCTGTCTGACATTTTTGTCAAAATTGAGTTATTGACATATTCTTATAAATGACAACTTATTTACATTATGGGATGTTTTTATATGAGTTGTTCACATTTTAAGACTTTTTAAAAAAAAAAAATCAAATGTTACACACAAACTGTTTGTTATATGGAATGCAAAAACTTTGAAGCTCAATATCTCAAAATCATTCAGAACGCAGAGAGAACCTTATAATTCGATATATATAGGTGACGATTTGTCTAAACCTGTGTGACCACCATTTGCCTCATTTTGGTTGTTGGTTTGACTTTTATTACAGATGAACCATTCATTCTTTTTCCTTTGGCTTAGTATCTATTTTAGAGTTCACCACAGAGGAATTAACCACCAACTGTTCCAGCATATGTTTTACGCAGCTGCAACCCAATACTGGGAAACACCCATACATTCACACACACACACACACACACACACACTCATATACTAAGGCCAATTTAGTTTATCAATTCGCCTATAGCGCAGGTGTTTGACTGTGGGGGAAACCGGAGCAACCGAAAACCCACGCCAACACGGGGAGAACATGCAAACTCCACACAGAAACACCAACTGACCCAGCCGGGACTAGAACCAGCAACCTTATTGCTGTGAGGCGACAGTGCTAACTACTGAGCCACCGTGTCGCCCTCAGATAAATCAATCTGCAGGGAAACAGCCAGAACTTCATCGACGGGGGAATGTGATCACAACGGTTTTAATCAGCGGTCAGAGAACATGTTAAATCAACGATTTTAGCCTTGGATTACAGGAATTTTTTAGGATTTCCCAAATTTGTCTCAGACAATTAAATCGTGGCTGAAATCAGTGTGGGCAAGGTCTTTTTATTGTGGCCAGCCTAAGGCACACCTGTGCAATAATCATGTCTTCTAATCAGCAATGGTCAATGCATTATCTCTGCAAAGAAGCGCTCACTAACCTACATTTAGACAGGTGTGTATCCTCTATTTGAATAAAATATATCCTTGTGTGTACATGTAGATCTACAGATCTAAAAAAGTACAGCTCATGAAAAAGAGGAGCAAAAACAAAAGTGTGTTGTTAATATTTTTGTTGAGTGCAGAAATCTTTGATGCACTCTACAGGTTACATTTTATGTGCACTGGAAGATCTGAAAACACAGAAATGAGGCGTAACATTCATTGTTCTGTCCTCTCAGGTGGAGGAGGCCGTGATGGTGTTTGAGGACGACTCTCCAGGGCCCATGGATGCGGTCGGTACTCCGGGAACTCTGCGCAACCTCTCCGCTTGGACCATCTCTATCCCGTATGTGGACTTTTATGATGATGAGGTTAAGAAAGAGCGTATTCCAGTCTTCTGCATCGACGTGGAGCGAAACGATAGGAAAAACGGTGAGTTTCTGAAACGTACATTCACTCCAAACTCTATTTGATTATTAAGGTCCTGTGAGATCTTTGTGAACGTGTTCATTGCTTCACAGTGGGACACGAGACTGAGAGCTGGTCTGTGTACAGAAAATATGTGGAGTTTTATGTGCTGGAATCTAAACTCACCGAGTTTCACGGTAAAGTTGATTATCGTCTCTCTTGTTTGGACAGAGCCTTCATGTGTTTGGGTCTATTGATCTCTCTGGTTTGATTTTGTATTACAGGCCCATTCCAGGACGCTCAGCTCCCCTCCAAAAGAATCATTGGACCAAAGAATTATGAGTTCCTGTCCTCTAAACGAGGAGAATTTGAGGAATATTTACAGGTAATTAATCTGACCCTGTACAAATCATAATAAAAGTGCTGTATTGACTCTTCTGAAGCATAAACACACCACAGTATGTGTGCAGATAGTTCATACACATGCTAAGTGACCATTCTTCATCTGAAAAACAAAGCTGGAGTCAGAGATTCTGCTTTGAGGATGTGCATTCTGTGCCAGAATGTTTGTTTTGGCCTTTATAGCCCGCCCACTTCAAGTTTAGCCAATTATATTTCAGCACTCCAGATTGCATTGGTGGACAACAGCGCATTTCATTTCAGTCTTGAAGGCTGACCCAACAAAAATACTCCCTCTGGAGGACAGCAGCAGCCTCCAAAATGAGATGCAGATTCAGAGTTGGTAGTTTTTATTTTGCAAACAATTCAAATATTACAAGCAAACTTTATGTGAGCAGCTTACATTGTAAGTAGGAGTGTAACGAATCACGGATCACAACCCATGGTTCAGAACACAAGTGACCCGTGGATTAATACTTTTTTTACTTATCGATTAATCCTAAATTTGTACCGATCGCAGAGAGATCACCTCTTGCATCATTTAAATCACATGCATGAAGGCATTTAGGCATTCCTGAAAATATAATGATGACGGAAGAAGTTGTTGTGGGTTATTAGGGATGTGCTGGGTTTCTTAGGTTGTTAAAGGTGTTTCCTGTCTCTACTTGTTTAGCCTGTATTAATGCATTCAGTGTAAGCTGCTCGATTAGTCATTAAAAGATCTGGATCTCAACCCCCACGCAACATAAATTATACATGATGCTGATTTGCATATGTTTATTAATCCTTCCAATCACTGCATTCAAATCTGAAAACGGCAAAATCTAGAAAGAGATTCAGTCTTTAGTCTTTTGAGGTAGTTATGAAAATTAACTTGACACTTAACAATAAAAGTTGTACATTATTACATTATTTAACCAATAGGTGGCGACACCAGCCATCAAAAATATGCCACTGAATAATTCTTCAGAAATGATCATCCAGCAATGAAACATGAAGTTTTATGAGCGAATAACTGAATCATTTATTGAAGATGAGACTAAATCTGAATATGGGCTGTACACATTTATAATGGCAGATTTCTACATTTAGCGTCATCAGCAACAGTAGTAGTGACAGTGATTTTTTCATAAGACTGAATATTTTACTATTTATTTTTATTCAGCTGATTATTTCTTTATTTTACTTTTATTTATTTATTTTTTTTTAGATGTTTTTGTAATAAATAAAAAGCAAATGAAATTTGTCTCCTTCCCTTTTTTTGGTTGATTAGAACCATAATATGATCCGAACAGAGATTAGTGATTCTTTACACCACTAATTGTAAGGCTCAATCATTATCACGCTCACTTTACGTCAGTCTGCATTCACGTGAAGTCGTCATGGGAAAAGCTTCGTGAAAAAAACCTCTCCAGTATTTTGAATTTGGACTGACACCTAGTGGCTGACATAGGTAGTGCAATGTCAATCCTACACACTACTTTAATTACTTTAAAAATGTATCATGACTGAGAAATATCTAGTGAAATGAGCAATATATTAGAAAACTAAATATCATCTACAGTATTAGACATACATGACCATAAGATGGTTCTTTTTTTCTTTTCTTTCTTTTTTATTTATAAAGAAACTTCTGCATCACCCTGAGCTGAGTAACAGCCAGCTGTTGGCCGACTTCCTGTCTCCATTCAGCATGGAGTCTCAGTTCCGTGACAAAATGCTGCCAGATGTCAACCTGGGTATGTTGAACTTCCCTTCACCACATGCACAAAACTAACACAGCACACACTTTACATTCACATCTCTTACACATTATGCACCATTTTAATAATCCTGATTCCTTATTTCCCATGAGATTCTGCCCCATGTTAATGGATTAGGTCTCTGATAGTGATGTGCGGATCGATACTAAACAATTGATTCCTCCATTAACAGATCTTAATGCTCTACGATCGACTCTCAAATCAAAACATAGATAATGTGAGGTGATTCATGTTATTAACTGCAACACAATACTAGTGACATTTTGTTTAAGTAATATGCGGTAGGTGGAAACTTCTTTTTCTGTCTGTCTGGAGAATTGCGTAATGTGCAAGCGCAGCAGCACAGTGCAGCTCGTCAGCCACGCACACACTTAGTCAGTCCAGTCACAACAATGGCAGAGCGAGAGCGTAAACAAAGTCAGATGTGGAACTATTTCAGCTCCACCAACAGCCCGGATGCAGTTCTAAGTGTTTTGCCATTTCATCATTTGTTAGTTTTACACCAATAACTTTTTTTTTTTCCGTTTGAAACTATTTTTACATGATCATGTCCTCTTTTTGGCTTTATTTGTTGTCTTCTTAGCTCGACTATTTTATAAATGAGGCCGCTACCTCATAGCATAGGCATGGGACAATAACCGGTGTCAACGTTAAGCACGGTTTGGGAAAATCAAGGTTTTAAAACTGCTAAAATTGTCTGTCATTCTTCAGTGTGGAAGTGCGCTAGTTTTTGCGATTTTTTTTTTTTTTTTTTTTTTTTTTTTTTTTTTTTTTTAAATTTATTTTTTTTTATTTATTTTATTTATTTTTAAAAAAAAAATTTATTTTTATTTATTTTTTTTTTTTAAACTTTAGATTAGTTTTAGTTTTTTAGTTTTAGCATGCTTTCACACTTGGTTCACTTGCCACAGCTCAAAATCTGCTTTAATGTCGACTAAAGAAATAAAGTCACCTACGTCTTGGATGACCTGTGGGTGAGTAAAAGTACAGGACACGTTCATTTTTCAATGAACTTTCCCTTTAAGTAAATCGAAACATTGCTCTTCCCCCATACGGTCATCTCTACCAGACTGGACATGATTTCACTACCAAGTGCTGAGATTATTCAGAACTGGTTAGTTTATCCAGCTGTTGTAGTGTTGCCGAAGCTCCGCTCTCTGTTCTTGATTAAATGTCAGCCTCAAACCCACAGACCACTGGCTGAACATCTGCTGCATTGTGCACATCAAGATGAAATACTTTACTTTCAATGTTGTAGAGTCATTATTTGGGTTCTACAGGGTTTCTGGGAGTGGTGTGTTGCGTTCGCTAGTAACTGGAAACTTGTGGTAATGCCAAACCCACTCACAGAATGAGAAAACCGTTGTGTTCACTACTGCGACAGAGACTGCCAGAATCGGCTGCATGCTTTTTCATGAGTACAGACTACAGAGTTTGCTGGAGGCATTGACATCATTCTGTTATTGTAGGAACACCCACACCTAAACGTGACACTAATTAAAACTAACTGCCATCGGTTGCTTTATAAACTGGTCAGACGAGCTCAGGCTACATTTACAAGACAATGATTTAGCCAAAGAAGTAAATTCTCTCTCATTTAAAAGAAAGTTGACATTTTCAACATAATCTGTGTTTACATATCTGTGAAATTGACCAACAAAACTGTATTAAACACTCCAGGCCAGTATTTGGCACTGTTATGGGGCGTTCACACCCCAGATTTGCCTAAATAAATTACACATAAATAGTTGTGTGAACATTGAGGGTTCTATCATACACCTGCCGCAATAAGGCGCAAGACGTGTTTCCCCGATGTGTTGCTATTTTCAGACCAACGCAGCACTAAGGGTGCGTTCACATCTGTGGTTCATTTGGTCTGGACCAAGGGCCATAAATTATACATTGTTGCATTTTCTGCCGTCTTTGGGTCGTTTTCACACCACACTTCTGGCTTTGGTCCGAACCATGTGATCTGACAAAATCTTGGCCAGAATTCAAGTTCGGGAAAATGCCAATGAACTCCAGCAAGTAAACAAAACCGGCAGACACAAAATGTCGCTTTATACTATGAATCTATCCCTGCTTTAGACAAACTATACATTTCGAGAATGAAGCGCGGCTGGAAAACAACGCTTTAATGCATCCCACGTCACTTCAGCAGGAGGAGGCGTGAATTAATTTAGCTAAACTGCGACATGCTCATCTTGCGGAAATATTACCAACGATCCATCAGGTGATTTTTTTGCCTCTCTCACTCTCTCTCTGTTGGTAAAGCGCTGTCAACTATTTTTTTTCCATATCCCATAATGCATAAAGCAAAAATGATTATTTTCTACATCAATATAAACACCACTGTCCCCATGCCTTCTTCATCTCCGCAGGCTTTTTCAGTTTATTCTTGACAATTTGCGTTTGTATAATGTTATTATTAGTAGTAATAGTATTTATTATATGCATATTTATATTTGTTTTACTAAAAACAAGCTTAGATTTGCCCACCTGTCAAGTTTTGGACCATATGAGGCACAGCATGTGTATTTGAAAATAAGTCAGTTTTTTGCGCACACTTCATTATTATTGTTCATTTATTCCTTTGCTGGAGATTACAACTGAATTTAGAAATAGTTTTGACGCAAATCTTTGTGTTAAACAAAGGAAATGAAATATGTGGGCTAATGGATGTGTTCAGTGGAGTGAGTTTCCACCGTTTCCTTACTCCACCAAAGTAAAGGAGTAAAGAGGAAAAGTAAAGTAAAGATGCTGAATGGAGGAGGCTCGTTCTTTATCCTCGCGCTGCAGATGCTCTGTTTAACTGTGTTTTCGCTAGTGAAGCATTCAGTTTTTACACTTACAAATTCACCATGTAAATAGCAAATCCACCATGGAGTAACACAACTGACTCTTAAAGGAAACGAGACGAGACTCTGATTGGTTTAATGCAGGTTATGCTCAAAACACATCCAGAACTCATTAAGAGAATAAGCACAGCCCTGTTAGACCATGCGCCGAGGGTGAAGAGCAGATTTTTCCATCCTAAAAATAGCAAAAGTGGATTCAGACACAGCCTTAATGCTTTTCAGCCATGCGCTTTAAGAATTTCTCAGCATAATCAGCAGGACTCTTACTCCATTTCATCTAGGCCAGAATAGCTCTAAAATAATAACACATGTTAACCCCAAAATCTAAAGTTCAGAGCAAACCAAGAATTCCACATACCAGACCTACCTCAAAACTAGTGCTTGAAACAGCCTTCATGCTGCAGTGGGTGTAGGGAGGATGGAGAAACATGCTGTTCGAGAGGAGTTTCTGCCGTGCTCGACACAAAACACACAGATGGCCAGGCTAGTTTTTCTGGTGTCCGTGAGAAACCCTGTTACACAACCTTAATGACAATCGCACGTGTTTTCCCTATCCAGAACATTTGCTAGCATTGAAGAAAATCCCAAATACGTAACACTTTAAAGACTTTATTTATTTATTTATTTAAAAAAAAGAGAGAAGCTAAAAAATCTCTTCAGTCCATTTTGAAGTGTGTAACACAGCCAAACAAAAATGCGTGCTCTGATTACGTTGATGACTGGTTTTATTTGTTGTTTTTCGCTACAGGAAAAATATTCAAGTCAGTGCCAGGAAAACTAATCAAAGAGGTAAGAGTTAGAATTGCATTGTTCGTGTGTATTTCACCTCTGTGCTCTTTGAAATCAGAGTTATTTTGAAGAAGTCTTGATTTGGTTTTTAAGACTTTTTAATGGTGCCATGAAAATCTGCCATAGGCCATTTTGAGGGATGTAAACAACAACAACGGCCCCAGCGTATTTCCTGTTTTACATTTATAATGTCTAAAGCTTTAGAGTATCCAAAAAGAGCCACATATTGATAAATGTTATGATAGCTGTTTTAACATTAAGGTATGATTAAATTGCATCTTATTACAGTTATGAAATACAGTAGTTTGATAACAATGAAATGTCCAGGGGCCAGTGACATGAACACATTGAAATGGTCTACATCTAGGCAGAGCTGAAAAGTAAGACTGGGAATTACACACCGTGGCTCAAACACCATTGCTGCCACATTTTTATGTAAATCCTGTTAAAGATTCTGGTAAAAAAAAACAGGCCAATCAGAACAGAACACCACCACATTAACATTTATTTTTTACATTTAACAATTATTTTGTTGTAATACTTGTAATACTTCTTTTTGAGCTTATATTAAGCTTATGGATTAGTAATGTGGGATATTGTATCTGCCCTTTTTGAAGAATTTCACCTAAATTTGACGCCGCTCACAATATTTTCTGCTTGAAATATATGAGCATAGTATATCAAAACAAAGAACCAAGCCTCTTCTTGTGTTCTCCCTTCATGTGTTCTTGTTTTATCTACACATGAATGCATTTTCAAGATATATAGTATACATGGATACATTCCTACATGCATATTGTACACACATATATGCACACATACAGTGGGGGAAATAAGTATTGAGCACATTGTCGAGTTTTCACCTGGAAGTAATATTTCTAAAGGAGCTGTTGACATGGAATTGAAGAAGATTTTGGTTAAAAAAACCCAGAACAATACCTCTTTATTTTGTATTTTCCATTGGATTCGGGTCAGGTGATTGGTTGGGCCATTCTACCGCTTGATTTTCTTTCTCTGAAAGCATCTGAGAGTCTCCTCGGCTGTGTTTTGGATCATTGTCTTGCTGAAATGTCCACCCTGGGTTCATCTTCATCCTCCTGCTGATGTAGATGTTGGACTGAAGCAGCTGATGTTCATCTACACTGAGGAAGGGCAGAGGCTTGCTGAAGAACTACTGAGAGATTTCAGCTGCTGTCTGGGACTTCACTGCCCAACTACACCTCCCTTTCTTCATGTGTTCAATACTTTCTCCCTGTGTTATTTCAGTTTATTATGCATAACTTCCTTTGTAAACTAATTAGATGTGTTTTCTTTGCATATATGGTTTTCTGTGGTTGTTACCAACATCCAGGGAAAATGTCAAGTTAACAGCACCTTTAGAAATATGTTTTCTGAGACAAATGGTGACATGTTCAATACTTACCCCACTGTGTGTATATATATATATGTATGCATATATATGTGTATATATATGTATGCATATATATGTATGCATGTATATATACCTGTACACATTTCTAACCTCATCGATGAGGTTAGAAAAGCAAAACATTTCACTTTGAATAGCTCTGGTATAGAAGGGAGTAAGCCAAATGAAGGTTGTATATCTCTCATTTTTACCCTGATCTGAATTTCACTTTCCTAGATTTCATCTTATATCATCCTATATTTCAGTCCCAGGACACATAAATGTCCTGTAACTTGTTCAGGACCTGTGTTGTGTTGGGGCTTCTGCAATACACTTAAAACACAGATTACCGTGAAATCTTGTCAACGGCGGTGAAACGTTTTCTCTTAATCGGGGAATGGTGGGGAAGGAGTTAGCACTATTTTGTCAGGATTTTAATTAGTGTTTTCTTTCTGTTTATTTTAGAAAGGGCAAAACCTGGAGCCGTTCATCCAGTCGTTCTTCAGCTCTTGTGAATCCCCCAAACCCAAACCCAGCCGGCCCGAGCTCACCATCCTCAGCCCCACTGCGGAAAACAACAAGAAGGTGTGTTACCAGTGGCGTATGAAGTACTGAAAGCCATACTTGAGTTAAAGTCAGGGTTCGTACAGTCTTGGAAAACCTGGAAAAGTCATGGAATTTTGACAAGGCATTTTTTCAGGCCTGGAAAAGTTTTGGAAAAACAAACAAACCTAAAATATTTTGGGAAAAGTCATGCAAATGAATTTGTTTAACCAAAATCTATCTACTTCAATATGTTTGAGGTGATAATATTGGGTACATTTTCAATACAGTTGCGTGGTTCATCTCCTCATGCGATGTTCTCTGTTTGGGGTAAAAAAGCAACTCACAGTTTCAGCTCTAAAAGCTCGCTTGTACTGTTCTCAAGTCTTATAAAACACAATCCAGCATTACTGAAATATTTTCACACAGACAGCAAGATACTTTCTAAAAACTATCGTAAATAAAAAAATGTAATAAAATAAAGATTTAAAAAATACACAGATCATCAAATATTTTTTGATAAGCTGTAATAAATTTAAACGTGCATTTTTTTCACCTAGTGTATGTAGACATTGCATAAAACAACATAGGTCATGAATATCTAGCTGAAAGTTTTGGAAAAGTTCTGGAATTTTAGTAGTAAAAATGTGTATGAACCCTGTAAAGTACAGATACCTTACTAGAAAATGACTTGGGTAAAAGTTTTAAAGTGTGTGATGAAATTAGCATTGAGACTGTCAGTGTTTGTTCAGCTTTTGAAATGTTTTATTTATATATATATATATTTCCCCCCTGATGTCATTTCAGCTGTTCAATGAGCTGTACAGAAACAATGCCAACCTGCCGGAGGGTCTGGAGAAAAAACACAACCAGAACTACTTCATGGAGCTGATGGAGGTGGATGGAGCCTACGACTACATGATGTACATAGGCAAGTGCATACGAGGACAAAACTGTTAGCCTTTCTGTCAAATTGTGATTCTTTTCTCAAATATTTCCCAAGTGTTGTTTAACGAAGAGATTACATTCAAACACATTTTTAATAACTCATTTATCTGAAAAACAATGCTGAAGTCAGATGTTCTGCTTTGAGAATGTGCTCTCCATGTCTGAATGTCTGTATTTGTTTCGGCCTCTATAACCAGCCCCCTGCCAGTTTGCCCATCTATATTTCAGCACCCCGGGTTGCCTTGGTAGAAAACACAGCGCTTTTTATTTCAGTCTTGAAAGATCAGCTGAAAATATGACTTCTGGAGGACAGCAGCAGACTTCAAAATGAGATGCAGATTCAGATAAAAATCCACATGGGGTTGTTTTTAATTAGCGAATAATGTGAACATTAGCTGAGCAACTTGCATTGCAAGGCTTTATCATCAGGCACGCTCGCTCCTGTGTGTCGTCAATCTGGCAACCTGCATTTGCAAGTCATAGAAGGGTGGAAAAAATCCCTCTTGAACATTTTGAATTTGGACCGCAATACCTAGTTCATCCACTAGGTGTCAGTCCCACGTAAAGTAGTTCAAACTAAAGTAAATTATGACCCCTGCTGTTGTTCTAGCCTCCTGAAGTCTCTCATGTTCAGCAGAAAATGAGACGTTCTGCTGGTTTCTCCACAGACTGAAGAGTTGTTTAGTGAACAGTGTTATTTGTGGCGCAGGTCGTGTGGTCTTTCGGATGCCGGACTGGCTGCATCACCTACTGAGTGGCGTCCGTATTCTCTTGAAGAGGACACTAGAGGCCTACGTAGGGCACTACTTCCAGTATAAACTAGAGCAGATCATGGAGGAGCATCGGCTCGTCTCTCTCGTCACCCTGCTGAGAGGTTTGTGTCCTTTCTGCAATACCTTTACAGGATCATTACTGTGTTGTGAAGTGTGTTAAACAGACACACACCCCAGACTTTATTTGTGAATTCTGTACAGAATTTTGCAAGTAAATTAATAATTAATCTGCAGATTGATGTGGATGGATTTTGAGAGTGTAGTTACTAAAATGTAAAACATGAACTCAAACAAATGAGAACTCTTTATTTAAGGTTTACATCTAATTAGGACCACTTGTTTGGTAAACAAAGTCTCTCATAGGATATAATCACTAAGACTTTAGGGACTGAATCATACATAAATCATCAAAACATTTGCATTTTATTCAAGAACATCACTGAAAGCAAACTGATCCAGCTTTCACAACTGTTCAAGAGTAATGGGTTTGTCAGGGATCATCAAACTTATTCCTGTAGTGCCTGTGTCCTGCAGATTTTAGCTCCAACCCTAATCAAACACACCTGAACCAGCTAATCAAGGTCTTAGGTATACTTGAAACAACCAGGCAGGTGTGTTGAGGAAAGTTGGACCTAAACACTGAAGGTCACCGGCCCTCCAGGACCAGGATTGGTGACCCCTGGGTTTGTGTTCAATAATCCTCAATTCCGGGTGTCTGCAGATGCGGTGTTCTGCGAGAGCACGGAGGAAAGATCTCCTGAAGACAAACAGAGACGAGCCAAGCAGACCTTTGAGGAGATGATGAACTACCTGCCAGGTACATCATCATTAACGCCTCTCCTCTGTGTGTGATGGACTGATGTGTGTTTCATCTGAGATGCGGCAGCTTATAGTTGGTGTGTAGCCGTCTAAAAGCTCAATTATTTACAAGTGATGCATTCATACAACCAACAAATGTATGCAAGTGTAACAGCGGCCAGCTAGTAAGTGCTGTGCAGGTAAACCTCACTCCTCTGACCTCTAAAGGTGCTCCAGGGACAGACGCTAGAGGCCATGGCCTTCAGCCTCCTTGTTAGAGCACCCGACTCCCATGCTGAAGGTCGCCAGTTCGGAGTGGGTTGGGTGCTGTAGGACCGGCCGGGTTACACGAGAATGATGAAGCCAATTATGATACGGGGATGTTAGGAGGTCATGATGGACAGAGGCCAGTGGGCAGATTCGGCCAGGATGCCTGGGTTAAACACCTACTCTCTTTCCAAGGACATCCTGGGTTTTTTTCTGACCACAGAGAGTCAGGAGCTCGGTTTAAGCTGTCATCCTGTGCAGTATAGAGTCCCCGTCAATACTAGGCTGTTATGCTGTGTTCATACCAGACGCGGAACGCGCGTCAAGCGCGAGTGATTTACATGTTAAGTCAATGCAAAGGCACGAATAGACATCTTGCAATACACGCGAATGGCATGGCACGAATGACTCGAATTGACGAATGGCGTGATGCGAATTGAGCATTTTGCGCGTTTGGCAAGTTTGACGCGCTTAACGCTCGAGTTCGAAAAATCTGAACTTCAGCTGACATTCGCGCCGTGTTAACCAATCAGGAGCTTGCTCTTGTGGGGGGCGTGATTGTGACGTATCGCCTGATATGGGTGCCTCCAGCCGACACCAATAAGAAGTTCATCAAACTGGGCTGGGCTCAGTCAGAAGCACCGCTGAAAGCCTCCGTCATCCAGGTTCAGTTTCTGAAGGAGTTGATGAGCTCACAGAGCTGGATGCACCTCTGAAATGATGTAGTGGACTCAGACACGGCCCTAAACGTATCGACGCTGTTTTTCAGCCTTCTTAAAGCACATAAACACTGTTATTTTCTCAATAAAATCCATGTTAGCCATTTAGCTATGAAGCTAGAGTCACCGGGCAGACAGAAGCCCTGCCCATCACGTGAATCCTCGTCTGTTCTGAAGTGAATTTGACACGCGAATGAAGCGAGTAAACTCAAATGTATCACAAATAGTGTGATTTGTCCGCGCGTTACGCGTCTGGTGTGACCTAGCTTACCCATCCAGGTACTGATCGGGCGGAGCCCTGCTTAGCTTCAGTGGGTGACCATGTGAGAGTTGCAAAGAGCTGTCAGCCGGCTAATAGGCGTATTATCTGTAATCAAGCCATGCTGACTAAAAGATGACACCCTCATTAACGCAAGTGTTCTGTTTCTCAGATATAGTGGGGAAGTGTATCGGCGAGGAAGCGAAGTACGACGGTGTCAAGATGCTTTTCAACACTATCCAGCAGCCGCTGCTCAACAAACAGGTTCAAACCCTCACCCTTTCATACTGACCTCCAGAAACACCGTCACCCGGCTCATTTTTCCTCTCGTTTGCTTAACAGATGACGTACGTGCTGCTTGACATCGCCATCCAGGAGCTTTTCCCGGAGCTCAGTAAGGTAACGATTGGCTTTACTACAGTAACGGTGTACACCCTGACGCTCACTAATGGAGCTGCTTCATGTTTTGTGTTGCAGAATCAGAAGCAAGGTCTTTCCGTCTCCACTAGATGGATGTGAAACATTATTGGAGCACCGTAACTAAGAGCTTCTAAGAATACATTTATTTATTGACTCTATTGGGGTGGTTTGACATGATTGAATCATTGGAACTCAGCCTTATTTTTACACTCGTGCTTAAACTGGATTCAGCACAAAATGTCATCATCTGTAAACCAGACTGTTTTACACTCTAAATTCTGAATATATAGACCAAAACACACAGGTATTGAGACATTTCATCTCGTTGTCATGCAGTCTAGATTTGAGTGCAGATTTAAAGTCGTTTTTTAGTGTGTAAATGTTCTGGCTTTTCATTTGGTAATAAATGTTGAACATATCAATAGTGTTATGTTTTTCGTCCCTGATCATATGTGTGGATATAAAATCTCCTTTAAAGTGTTGTTCTGGTGACTCAATTTTCCCCTTAATTTCGACATGGGGATTTTTTTGTGGTGTAGTGTGCCATAGTGTACAGCAACCAATGGCTGACAGCTTTCATTCAACGTTGCAAAAAATCTTACATTTATTCATTTCCCATCATCCAGCACGAGTTATGTCACATGGTGATGTTAACCAATGGGAGTACAGAATCTCTTTCACACATACCTTTTGATCAGTGCCTCTTTTGAGCTCCCTCATAGCAAACTTAAGGGCGTGGCTAAGAAGATCTTGGTTGGTCGGATTATTGGTTCATGGGTTGTATGATTGGATGGTTGGTTGATTTGCTGATTGGTTGGTTGGTAGATTGGTTGGAAGATTGGCTAATTGGTTGGTTGAATGTTTTTTTTAGTTGATTGGCTGATAGGTGGTTTGGTTCATTGATTGGTTGAATTATTGGTTGGACGATTGGTTGGTTTATTGCTTGATTGGTTGGATGATTAGTTGGTTGATTGGCTGATTGATTGCTTGGTTGGTTGGTTGATTCATTGGACGATTGGATGGATGATTGGCTGTTGGTTGGTTGATTGATTGATTGGCTGATTGATTGGTTGGTTAGTTGATTGGCTGGTTGGTTGCTTGCTTGGATTAATGATTAGATGGTTGATTGGTTGGATGATTGATTGATTGGCTGATTGGTTGGATAATTGGATGGACGATTCGGTTGGTTAGATGATTTTCTGGTCGGTTGGTTATTTGATTGGCTGCTTGGTTGGTTGATTGGATGGATGATTGGTTGGATTATTGGTTGTTTGCTTGGTTAATTGGCTGATTGGTTGATTAGTTGGCTGATTGGTTTTTTAGTTGACTGGCTGGTTAGTTGATTGATTGGTTGAATGATTGGATGGATGATTGAGTGGTTGAATTATTGGATGGATGGTTGTTGATTAGCTGATTGGTTAGTTAATTGGTTGGTTGATTGGTTGGCTGATTGGTTGGTTAGTTTACTGGCTGGTTAGTTGGTTGATTGGTTGGATGATTGGATGGTTGGTTAGTTGGTTCATTGGTTGGATTATTGGTTGGTAGGTAGTTAGGAAGGAAGGGAGGGAGCTAGTTTGCTGGTGACTGTGAGACACACTCCATCGACAATTATAGGGACATTTAAGCAGCTTTGCAGATATCTTGCGATGAAAGAAATCAACCTGTAGTCTGGCATATTTGGTATCGATGACATGTCAAGATTTTATCTAGACAGAATTGCAGTTGTGTAGTCTGAACGGGGCTTAAGTAAACATGTGTAGCTACTTCAAGAAAAGAGGGTGGTTAACATTATTTATGATCTAGTTGTGTTGTTTAATTAACCATAATCATCCTCAAGAAGCAAGACTAAACAACTTTACAAATGTGACTGGGATCTCTCAAAACATGTACAGGTCCGTTATTGAGAAAAGAAGATGACATTTTGGATAAAGGGTGTGTTACTGTCCTGAGAGCACAGATGGAGGACACATGGATCCTTCATCAGAAATGTGTGAACAGAATTGCTGGATAAGCAAAGTAAACAAACTGAGAATTTGTAAAACACATGCTGAAGTCATTATCCGGCAGGAAGTTCACATTCCTGATTGCTGAGGTGCTCGAGACGGTTTGCCAATTCTGTTTGGTCTTTTTATGTGTGTTTTTAAACTCTAAAAGTACTGATAATCTAAGAACTGCAGTGTTGTTCAAAATAATAACAGTAAGTGACTAACCAGACTGATCTAGGATTTTAGTATATTTGTATTGCTACAGTACATGGCAATGAAGTTACCAGTAGGTGCAGTAGATTCTCAGAAAACAAACAAGATCCAGCATTCATGATGTGCGCACTCTTAAGGCTGTGCAATTGGGCAATTAGTTGAAAGGGTGTGTGAATAAAATAGCAGTGTGGCATTCAATCAGTGAGCTCATCAACATTGTGAAAAAACAGGTGTGAATCAGCTGGCCCCTATTTAAGGATGAAGACAGCACTTGCCTGAGGCAAATGGCTCGTTCAAAACATTGTTCAGAAGAACAGCGTCCTTTGATTAAAAAGTTGGTTGGAGAGGGGAAAACATAAAGAGATGCAAAAAATACAGGCTGCTCTTCTAAAATGATCTTCAATGCCTTAAATTGGGGGGCAAAACCAGAGAGAGGGGGAAGAAAATGGAACACAACCACCAAAATGGATCGAAGAATAACCAGAACGGCACAGGCTCAGCCAATGACCAGCTCCAGGATGATCAAAGACAGTCTGGAAATACCTGTAAGTACTGTAAGACGTCTGCGTGAAGCTAATCTATTTTCAAGAATTCCCCGCAAAGTCCCTCTGTTAAAAAAAGGCATGTGCAGAAGAGCTTACGATTTCTGACAATCTACTGCACCTATTAGTAACTTGTTAGCCATGTAGCAATAAAGAAAATATACTAATAACCTGGATTATTCTGGTAAGTCACTGCTATTATGTTGAGCAATACTGTATGTCATAGTGAAGAAAAAACTCATCAGCCTGAGGATAAATTAACAGCAATTTTTCGGCTTTGGGCTATCCTTTAAGTTTTTGAGTGCAAAATTAATTTTAATTGAATTATTATACAGTTAACCCCATGCTAAATCACTATTAAAATGTACAGTTGAAATCCCATTATTGGCCCCCCTTTGATTTTTTTCCCCTCTTTTTTTAAATATTTCCTAAACGATGTTTAACAGAGCAAGGAAATGTTCACAGTGTGTCTGATAATATTTTTTCTTCTGGAGAAAGTCTGATTTGTTTTATTTCGGCTAGAATAAAAGCAGCTTTTAATTTTTTAAACACCATTTTAAAGTCAATATTATTAACCCCTTTAAGCTATTTGCTGATAATTCAGGGGGGCTAATATTTCTGACCAACTGTACTTCACATTTATTTCCACTTCGCAGTAATCATCATATCAGCCAACACTCCCGTTTTTCCCGAGAGTCTTCCGTATTTCAGACCCATCGCCCGACACCCTCCCGTTTAGTTATTTCTCATGGAAAACACTCGTTATTTCAATACCCCCGCTTTTTTTGTTTTTTGGTATAGTTCACCTTAGGGTCACCAACTTTGGTAAAGTATCCGATTGCAGCAGCCGCTCCATAGTACAGTTAATAACACCACAGAACAGTTACTAACCCGGTTCTCAACTGAGTTATTCAGACACCTCAACACCCACCACGCACCGGACTCCCGGATTTTTACAGACACATGTTGGCAGGTATGGTAAACAGAATTTAGGGAATGAATTGAAGCTGAGGAGCTCTGCAAAAATCTTAAAGAACTAAAGGGATAAAGATCAGGGGTGTCTTTAATAAATGTGGCATACGCACAAATTGGGCAACTTGACGGGGGAATGTGCGCAGCTGGAAGTAAAGTCTAAGCAAACATATTTAACTGAAATATTGACTCTTTAAATCATCATACAGCAGAAGCCATCATCATTAACAAAATAAATACACATTTATTGAGGCAGACGCTCACTTGTAGGAATGTTTCTAAGCAGAGCTTTATAACTCAGATCCCTGGATTATTCCTCGTGAAATAGATCCCCGCTCATAGATGGAGTGTTACATGTATACAGAGGTATAATGAAACCATCCCTGTGTTTCTCTAATGATAAGATCTTGTTTTACAAGAAGAGGGATTTTAGGCCATCTGTTCTACATCACAGTGTTAATTATCAGTCGACTCCTATGAAGACAACTCATCTTTGGGCTAGAGGTTTTCTTTTTTCCTCATCTGACTGTACAGTCACACATAAAATGGCTACATGTTGTACAAAGTGCATTAGAATGATGTTAACTGGCTAAACAAGCATGAGCCAGACGGCCCACAGCAGCAGAACGGTGGACGTGTATCCCCGAAGACCAGCACAGGAGCTGCTGAACTGGATGCGTCCCTCCACAGCCGGATGAACTCTCTTCCTCTCGGAGATGTAGCCAGCAACAACCGATATATCCAGATCACCTGTGGAATAAAGCACACCACAACGTGTGATGCTAACAAGAGTATGCAGTGAAATGTGCATCAAGAGGACATCAAAACCAGAAAACAATGAAGAACTGTTGGATATTTTATAAATAATATAACCTTAGTCTCTTACAGGACATCGCTAGTCTCAAAGACATCGCTGTTCTCTGACAGGCTACGCTAGTCTCACGAAGACAGCTGGTTTCTGACAGACATCGATATTCTCTCGAAGGCATCGCTAGTCTCTTGCTAGTTTCTCACAGACAACACTAGTCTCTCGCTAGTCTCTTGCAGGACATTGAAAGACTAGCGATGTCTGTGAGAAACTAGCAATGTCTTCGAGAAACTAGCGATGTCTGTCAGAGACTAGCAAGGTCTGTCAGACTAGCCTAGTCTGTGAGAAAATAGCAAAGACATCGCTAGTTTCTGACAGACATTTGTAGTCTCTCGCTAGTCTCTGACAGACATCGCTAGTCTTTCGCTAGTCTCTGACAGACATCGCTAGTCTCTTGCTAGTCTCTGACAGACATCGATAGTCTCTCGCTAGTCTCGGACAGACATCGGTAGTTTATCGCTAGTCTCTGACAGGCATTGGTAGTCTTCTTGCTAGTCTCTGACAGACATCGGTAGTTTCTCGCTAGTCTCTGGTAGACATTAGTAGTCTCTCGTTAGTTTGACAGGCATCATTAGTCTGTGACAGACATTGGTAGTCTCTCGCTAGTCTCTGACAGACATCGGTAGTTTCTCGCTAGTCTCTGGTAGACATTGGTAGTTTCTCGCTAGTCTCTGGTAGACATTGGTAGTTTCTCGCTAGTCTCTGGTAGACATTGGTAGTCTCTGGCAGACATCGGTAGTCTCTCGCTAGTCTCTGGCAGACATCGGTAGTCTCTCGTTAGTCTCTGGCAGACATTGGTAGTCTCTCGCTAGTCTCTGGCAGACATTGGTAGTCTCTCGCTAGTCTCTGGCAGACATTGGTAGTCTCTCGCTAGTCTCTGACAGACATTGGTAGTCTCTCGCTAGTCTCTGACAGACATCGCTAGTCTCTCGTTAGTCTGATAGGCATCGCTAGTCTCTCGCTAGTCTCTGACAGACATCGCTAGTCTCTCGTTAGTCTGATAGGCATCGCTAGTCTGTGACAGACATCGCTAGTCTCTCGAAGTCTTTTGCAGGACATCACTGACAGACATGGCTAGTCTCTGACAGATATTGAGTCTCTCGCTAGTCTCAGACAGACAGCGCAAGTCTATTGTTAGTCTCTGACAGACATCGCTAGTCTTGCTAGTCTCTGACAGACATTGCTAGTCTTGCTAGTCTCTGACAGACATTGCTAGTCTCTGACAGACATCGCTAGTCTCTTGTTAGTCTCTGACAGATATTGAGTCTCTCGCTAGTCTCTGACAGACATTGCTAATCTCTCCATAGTCTGACAGACATCGCTAGTCTGTGACAGACATTGGTAGTCTCTCGAAGTCTCTCGCAGGACATCACTGACAAACATGGCTCGTCTCTGACAGATATTGAGTCTCTCGCTAGTCTCTCACAGGACATCACTAGTTTCTGACAGACATAGCTAGTCTCCACCTAGTCTCTGACAGATATTGATAGTCTCTTGCAGGACATCACTAGTCTCTTAAAGACATCGCTGATCTTTTACAGACATCAATAGTCTCTTGCTAGTCTCTGACAGACATTGCTAGTATCTCGCTAGTCTCTAACAGCACACAACATCAGACATTCTTCAAAGGTAGCTCTTCCACATCTGTTAGTTTACCTTCAAACAGGACTACTGCGTTTTGTTTAGTAATTTGACCTCCACTTACCGCTGTCATGTTTGAGTTTCTTCTCTTTGATCATGGCGAATCCGTCTCCTCCGTCCACTAGATAAGACGGCAGCACTACTTTATACACCTTGTTGGGGACCAGCGGTTCATAATGGGGCACTCGACACTGGGTGCAGAGCACTTTCACACTTTTAACACGGCTACCGGGTGCTTTCGATAAGTCATACACCACCTGAAAACCTGCAGAGGGATTAAAAACAATAGAAGATTGACACTGCTTTATCTGAATTAGCATTATAGTAGCATGGACTAGTCTTGTTCATACTTTTGAATTCTTGCCCTAGATAATCAAATACTGAGGTTGACTATATGACTATATGTTTTTTTTTTCTATATTGTGATGCAGTTCCTAGAGAAACAGAATATTCAGTGGGCGTGGCTTGTTTTTTCTACTGCAATCTGATTGGATGTAGTAAAGTAGGCGTGTCATTCAGAAAGCTGGGGAAAGTTTTGGGGTTTGGGGAAAGTTATTACAACCTAACAGACTCCTCCCCCTTACCATTTCTGTCTGTTGTTAAAACTGACAGCTGGAGGGGTGTGGTTAAGTGTGTTAGCCCCACCCACTACCTCAGACTGACCTAATCTGAGAATTTAACTGAAAACAAACAGGATTTCTATTAAAGATCACAAGGGCAAACTGTTTTTGTTCTTACTGACATGCACAGATGAATTGTTCACCACAATACTAGCAATGTGAGCTAACACAACCATATGGTTACTTTTGATTTGTACTTTAAACAGTTCAAAACACGTTAAAGAGATAAAATTGATGCAAATATAAAAAAAGAGAAAGACATAAGGGATGAGTACATAATGGCAGAATTTTCAGTTCAGTTTTAAAGGTACCTGACACCTGTAGAAATTCTCCAGTGTTTCCTCCGTGTCGGCGAACTGAGTGCTCAAAAGCTTCTAATAGAGTCGATCCGTTCAGCTGGACCAGGTCGAATGTTCCTCCAAACGGCAGCACGGCGATCAGGTCCTCCATTGTGATGGAACCTTCAGTCGGAGGGAGTGGGACGGTTTGAGGATTATTTCTAATATACACTAATGTTGGTGTGAGATCAGTAAATCTGTACCGTTTCTGTTTCGCTCATCAATAGGTGCCCGAATGCCTCCACCGTTTAGAATACAAGAGCTGACATGGTTCCACTGGAGCTCGTCAGCGTATTTAATATTATGATGGACCTGAAATACAAGTGTGCCATGGGATATTTAATAACACATCAGTTCGGTCGAGGTTTTACAGCAGAGAGTTGAGCAAATGGCTGCTGGTTTTTGTATTAATTAGTCCCTTTCACTTGGTGGTCATCTTTAATGTTTTAATAACGTTATACCATCATAAAAAACAATGCACTTATATAGGGGAAAAGTATTAAATATTAATTCTTATTTATTTTATGCCTAAAAATCCATATGCGTGATTGTCATCACAGGACAGTAAGAGGTGAGGTAATATGGTGAGTCGTGCACCAAGTGACCTGGTCTCGAAAAAGAACACAACCTCTGCAGTTTGGCAGTATTTCGGGTTTTGACCGAACGAAAAGGGAGATTTGGTAGATACAAACTAGAGGTTCTCTATTCCCGCTGCTGTACTGTGGGAGCCGCAGGACCCGGCCAGATTTCTTGTGGTGCGGGAAAAAAATTCAGAATAAAGCGCGGGAGCGGTCGATAACTCTGGTGAACGGGAGTGGGCAGTCTAACAATATCGCTCCCGAGCAAGCAAGCACGCACGCGTGAATGCTGTTTATGTGTGTGTGTGTGAATAAGAGAGAGTGTGATGCTGTGTGTCTGTGTGTGTGTGTTTATACAGACAGCTTGTTATAGGCTGTCTGGACTCTATCATCCAGCTGGGTGGTTTTTGATTTTGCTTTTCTGTTCGCGAACACATCATCTCAGCCCCCCCCTAAAATGATGTCCCGCACAGATCTTGCAAATTGTGCAACAAACAGGTGATCACGAACCTAAGGTCGCACATACAGTATTCAGTTACTGAATGGTTTAGGCACAAGCCAAAAGCTGTCTGAGCCTTACGTCATAATTTTTTTTATTATGCACGATAATACCGAGGTAAAATAGAGAGGAGGTTTGACGGTATCAGAATTTGGATATCGCCCAGAGAAGGACCCACGAACTGCCAAGGACTGGATCCTCAACCCATTTGTCAACATATCAGGTGAGTCCAGCATGTCTGTGGAAGAAAAAGATCATCTGCTGGAGCTCGCAAATGACGGCGGCCGTTCACATATTGTGTCCTTTCCGTGCGCAAGTTCGTTATAGGGCGCAACGCACTCGCACCTTCCAGGAGCACACAATTGAAAACATTTTCAGAATGCCATGAGCGCACCGCGAGTCATGTGACGAACTGACCAATCAGCTTCATGCTTTGTATGTAATATACACATTTCGGTAGACTAATCAGAGTTGCAGCAATGATTTGTCAGCTTGTCATCTTCTGAGTTAACGGTTGTTGCACCGCAATCTCCTACACCCCCACCCCCCAGTAAAATTGTCAAGCATTGACTGGCCCGCTGTGATAGGTTGGAAAGCACTGATCTAGAGGACGTAATTGGACATTATCCTTTCAATCAAACTATGTAGCCACCATAAGCGTTCTTGTGGTACCGGTTGGTCTTGCAGGTTACCTTGGAAGAACAAACTCGGACCGCGAGAACACAGAACGCATATGAGAAATTCACACGAAAACAATTTCACCATTAATAAAATTATGATTTATTTTTCTTTTCAGTGAAAATGTACAAATATTTAAGTATTAAAGCATTGTCAGTGAAGGTCAGTTGTAAAATGCAAATAAAAACGATTTCAACAAGGAAACGGCTCACACCACTAGCAGGTTCTGGGGACCCCCTAGTGGCGGTGGGGCCCTAAGTAGCTGCAGTAATTCTCAAGAAAAGCAATAAGCAAACTACTGGCATTAGAAGGGCAGCGCCTTTTAACAGCAAGCCTTCAAAAGCGTAGGTGTTTTTACTCACCATGGCATCACAGATTAAATTCCCCAAATTGCATTCACGAAAGCGACACTCCTCGAAGGTGCCGTTGAGGAAGACTAGAGTCTGTCCCACTTGCTGAGAGGAGTAGTTGGCCAGATTCATCCTCCAGCTGTCCACTTTAGCCTGGATGTCGGGATCTAGAGAGAGCCAGATTACAGATTGATATTTACATTTTGTGTTTCTCAACCACGTTCCTGGACAGCCACCAGCACTGTATGTTTTGGATGTCTCCATGTCTGTCACGCCCATTGCAGGTCTTTCAGTCTCTGCAAATGAGCTGATGATCTGAATCAGCTGTGTTTGGTTAAGGAGACATGGAAAGTGTGTAGAGCTGGTGCTCCTCCAGAAACACTGATTAGCTGATGCTTTTGTCCAAAGCGGCTAACAAAAAAGGAGGCATTAAGGAAATACTAACAATGATTGCTTTTAACATCTTTGTATATGGTTGATTTTACCTTGTCAGGTCCAAAACTTATTTCCAGTGGATTTTTTTTATGTGTCTGCACCATATATCATCATCTGTTTCTGTTTTCAGTGATCAGATGTTGATATCAGGTGCAAACACACATGGGTCTGGTTTGCTATCCCAGTGGGGACTCTCTATAATACTGTACAGACTTTATATTCTCTCCCCCTGCGTCAACCCTAGTACCCTAGTGTGTGTGTGTGTGTGTGTGTGTGTGTGTGTGTGTGTGTGTGTGTGTGTGTGTGTGTGAGACAGAGACAGGGAATGAGAAGGTCTGCAGTGTGTCAGAGCAAAGCTCATTAATATTCACAAGCCTCCCAAATATGGTCAAAATGGACCCTTTTCCACATTTCCTGGTTTCTCAGTATCAAAGTGGTCGTAGTTGGAAAATTCAGAGAGCAGTGAATGGGAGAATACAACAAATCATCCTTTTACAATCCTATTTGCTGAAATAACAACATAAAAACTCCATAATGGTGTTATAAATTCTTTCAGAAGGAGAAAAAAAATAGTGTGAGACTGACCTAGAATGATGTCAGCTTTACTCTCAGCCCCATTGACACTGCTCTACAAACACCTCGCATGAGCGGTCATAAGTTTTTTGTAATTTGACACAAAGACAATATAATACATGCATAAACATATAAATGTTCATAAAAATCTAAATATTAAAAAAACTTTCAAGGATTTAAGATGATGATGAGCGTTAAACACGTCATAACAGCCTTGTGAAAAGGCTCCATGAATCTTGTCATTCTACGGGTCATTTCTGATTTTATAAACAAGCTTATATATCTACTTCTGAACTTACCTAAGCCACATACCTCTTATGTAGATATCAGAGAACATATTGAACCTTTAAGCTATAAATCATTACATAGAAACGCAAATGCAAATTAACTTGCTTGCATGTCAACAGTTTCCTTACCGGGTTCTACTGAACTATTCAGAAGAATGGGGTTTCCTGTCGACTCCAGCACATTTCCGTTTGCATCAAAAGTCACTTTCAGGAATCCCAGATATTTTCCAAAAGCATAAGCCTGGACCACAGGCACCTGCCGGCCGTCGTCTGACTTGACCATGAGTGGATACGGCCCTGCGGGAACTTCTGTGGACGGTGGATCTCCTGCAGAGAGAAGCGCACACAATGAACAAACTGAGTAATAAAAACATCTGCTGTGCTAAAGTCTTTATTAAAGCATGTTAGACTTATTTCACACACAAAACATTTGCTTTATTTGTTAACTTCATGGTGGCGCATGCAGTGGTTAGCGCTGTGGCCTCACAGCAAGAAGGTCGCCGGGTCGAGCCCCGGCTGGGTCAGTTGCCGTTTCTGTGTAGAGTTTGCATGTTCTCCCCGTGTTGGCGTGGGTTTTCTCTGGGTGCTCCGGTTTCCCCCACAGTCCAAACACATGCGCTATAGGGACACTGATGAACCTAGTTGGCTGTAGTGTATGAGTGTGAATTAGTGTGTGTGGGCTGCAGCTGAAAGGGGATCACAGGGCAGCAGCTCACTGCATGTAGGCATGTAGACATGGTCAAGACGATCTGCTGCAGGTCAAAGCGAGCATCAGAATGGAGAAGAAAGGGGATTTAACAGACTTTGAATGTGGCATGGTTGTTGCTGCCAGACGGGCTGCTCTGAGTATTTCAGAAACTGCTGATCTACTGGGATTTTCAAGCACAACCATCTCTAGGGTTTACAGAGAATGCTCCAACAAAGAGGAGATATCCATTTGGCACACAGTGTGTGAGGCTATCATGTCAAGGTGTACCTAACAAAGTGGCCGGGGAGTAACATATATATATATATATATATATATATATATATATATATATATATATATATATATATGTACACAACAGTTGTTGCATAAACGCAATATCACACGAGTAGCAGTGCGATATGGCTGTATATCAGCACTGGTGGGGGCACTAACGCACGCCTCCCACCAGTGCCGATATACAGCCATATCGCACTGCTACTCATGCGATATTGCTCATATATATAGTTGGAAATGTATTTCTTATTAATTATGGCTCTCCTATTTCTATGAACGTAGCTGTGTTATGTCCATGTATGTTATATAGCTGTGTCATGTTTATGTGTGTAGGTCAAGAGGGGCCAGGGTCTGTGGTGCCAAGGCCAGATAACACAGAACGTAAAGCACCACACCCGGCCAATTCCTAGAACACCAGTTGTTTACTTGTGTGTATAAAAGTGGTTAGATGGAAAGAGTTGCTGTTGAAGATGGCAATATTACAAATTTCACAGCAGGGCTAATATGTTTGTCTTCAACTGTACACACACAGTATATACACAGTACAATAGAAATAGAAACAACAGAAACTATTCAAATCAAAGTCACACTTTACAATAAGGTTCATTAGTTAATGTTAATTAATGCAACAAACAATGAACAATACATTTACTACAGTATTTTTTCATGTTAGTAAACGTTAGTTAATGAAAATACAGTAACTAATGTTAACAAGCATGGACTTGGATGTTAATAATGCATTAGTAAATGTTCAGTTATGATTAATAAATGCTGTACATGTGTTGTTCATGATTAGTTCATGTTAGTAAATGCATTAACTAATGAACCTTATTGTAAAGTGCTACCCAAATCAACAATGGAGCAGTCATATGTCAGTGCCATGACAGAGCTAGTAGTAGTGTTAAAGGGACAAAGCAAAGATTTTCTTGAAACAAAAAACAAAAAAGTCAAGCCTGAAATTATTTATACCCCAGGCAAAATCTGAATTCAAGCTTTTGTTCAAATGTGATGCCTCTTGTACATCGACTTGTTATCTTTTGAGAGGAGTCTGCGTCATTTCTAGTAAATAAACTTGAATGGTTGAATAAAAGTGACTTTAAGTCAGAATTTGCCAGGGGTAAGAATCATTTCGAGCTTATACGCATGTATACACACATTTATATAGTTGAAGTCAGAATTATTCACCCCCCTTTGAGTTTGTTTTCTTTTTTAAATATTTCCCAAATGATGTTGAACAGAGCAAAGAAATGTTCACAGTATGTCTGATAATATTTTTTCTTCTGGAGTAAGTCTTATTTGTTTTATTTCGGCTACAATAAAAGCAGTTTTTAATTTTTTAAACACCATTTTAAGGTCAATATTATTACCCCCTTTAAGCTATATATTTTTCCAATAGTCTACAGAACAAACCATCGTTAACTTGCCTAATTACCCTAACCTGCCTAGTTACCCTAATTACCCTAGTGAAGCCTTTAAATGTCACTGTAAGCTGAACACTAGTGTCTTGAAGAATATCTAGTCTAATATTATTTACTGTCATCATGACAAAGAGAAAATAAATCAGTTATTAGAGATGAGTTATTAAAACTATTATGATTAGAAATGTGCTGGAGAAATCTGCTCTCAGTTAAACAGAAATTGGGGGAAACATAAACAGGGGGCGAATAATTCTGACTTTAACTGTATGTTGTTATGCATTATTATATTTGTGGCATCACTCATCCTCAGAGCAGAACCATGAACAGACGAGTGTTATAGTTGTCAGCAGTTGTGTGTGTATTCAGTCTGTTCACAGCACACACTCCTTTATAAACAGCAGTAAGTGTCAGGTTTTCAGCCTGTAAACAGCAGCAGAACTGAATGCAGATGAGCTGTGCTTAACAGTCAGACCACAGCTGCTGGAGGAAGAGCTCCAAGCGCTTACACACATTTTGTTGATTTTAAGTTGGATTGAATTGATTCTCATTGGAATATTAGCAGATTTGTTATCTGATACCTACCTGTGTACAAGAATGTATTGGTGTGTCCTCCAATCACAACGTCCACTCCCTGAACCTTCTTCGCGATCATTTGATCCATTAGGAAGCCAGAATGTCCGAGAGCGATGATCTTATTAACACCCAAAGTCAAGAGTTTATCCACTTGAGGCTGTAGAGCCGTGATTTCATCCTCAAACTTCAGATGTGGGCCTGCAAATATATATATAGAACAACACAGTCATACTCCTGCTGACTGCAAATCAACCTCTGTTTTGTTCAACACAATGTTTTTAGGCTGACAGTTTTCACAATGTTACAGATCATTTGAATCAGTGAATCATTTACTGAAAACTCACTCTGTACAGATCATTTGAATCAGTGAATCATTTACTGGAGACTCACTCTAACAGATCATTTAAATCAGCGAATCATTTACTGGAGACTTTTTCTGAACAGATCTTTGAATCAGTGAATCATTCACTGAAGACGCACTCTGAGCAGATTATTTGAATCAGTAAATAATTTACTGGAGACTCACTCTGTACAGATCATTTGAATCAGTGAATCATTCACTGAAGACTCACTCTGTACAGATCATTTGAATCAGTGAATCATTTACTGGAGAATTTTTCTGAACAGATCTTTGAATCAGTGAATCATTCACTGAAGACGCACTCTGAGCAGATTATTTGAATCAGTAAATAATTTACTGGAGACTCACTCTGTACAGATCATTTGAATCAGTGAATCATTCACTGAAGACTCACTCTGTACAGATCATTTGAATCAGTGAATCATTTACTGGAGACTCACTTTGACAGATCATTTGAATCAGCGAATCATTTACCGGAGACTCACTTTGACAGATCATTTGAATCAGTGAATCATTTACTGAAGACTCACTCTGAGCAGATTATTAGAATAAGTGAATCATTTACTGGAGACTCACTCTGAACAGATCCTTTGAATCAGTGAATCATTTACTGAAGACTCACTCTGTACAGATCATTTCAATCAGTAAATCATTTACTGCACACTCACTCTGAACAGATCATTTGAATCAGTGAATCATTTACTGGAAACTACTCTGACAGATCATTTGAATCAGTGAATCATTTACTGGAAACTACTCTGACAGATCATTTCAATCAGTGAATCATTTACTGCACACTCACTCTGAGCAGATTATTTGAATCGGTGAATCATTAACTCTATACATTTATTACAATTACTCAATAAATACTCCACAGGAAATAAACAGTGTGAAGGGTAAAGGTTAATGTGATAGTCCTGGAATGTGCTTTCAGTCTCTGCTTTGATAAAGAAAGATAAAGCAGCTCAGTGTCTGTTTTAATGGCAGATGAATGACTGCAGTACAGTTGTGTAAACGCTTTGTTTTGCTTTTCTTTTTGCTTAGTGTGTCAACACAACACTGAGGTGCTCATGGAGACCCGAGTTCGAGACCCAGCTCAAGGTTTTTTGCCGATCCTGTTCCCTCTCTCTTCTCTCCAGTGTACATGGCTGTGTTGTTACTTCTTGAAGTTTATTCATACACTGATTTCGAGAGGATCCTGTGCTTTTGATTGTTCTTAGCTGGTCCTGCATCAGCACATGATTGATTCTCCAATCAGACGATTCCTAACTCACTATAAACAACCCGAGTTTTTCTTATCTCGATATCTTCGTCTTGAAGAATACTCCCCTACCCAGCCCTACTCCCCCTCCTTTCCAGATGGGAGACATGGTGGCCAATGGTAAGCACTGTTGCCTTACAGCAAGAATGTCTCTGGTTAAAGTCCCTACTAAACCAGATGGCAATTCCGTGTGGAGTTTGCTCGTTCTCCCCGTGCTTGAGGTTTCCTCCCACCGTCCAAAAACACACAACTTAAGTAACATAAACATATCCACATTTCCAAATTAATACCATATCCTAGCTTTTAGTAAGTACACCTCTCGTCAGCCATCTGCATGTGTCATTAGCCAGAAATAAGCCAGGGGGAGTTCATCGAGATCTACCTGAGCTCAAACTCCCCTCTCACCCTGCAACAGGAGGAAGCCCAGGGCTCGAGGGGCTCTCTCCCGGGACAGCATGCCAAACAAGCTTTATAATCAATCATCAGCGAAGTGTGAACTCTTGAAACATCTTAAATAATGCAGCCTGCAGTTTACAGCAAGTGTTCAGTGAGATGTGTTGTCTGTCATGTCTTTCGTCTGTCTTTTTTTTCGGGGGGGTTTCTCGTAAGGCACGGCTTTCCAAAATGATGACATGAGACTCTGCTGGGTAGTCGCGTTGGTTTACCAACACTTGTTTGGGTCTGTAATTTCTAAACATCTTCATAAAGACTGATGAAACAGGTTTGTGGTGTTGTCTGCTTCTGATTGCACGAGGCGTCTGCGCAGTTTGCAGTGCATATTTTATTTTACTCCTCCAAGTGTATATCTGCTCAGCATTACGCATAGTGGATAAATATTATCCAATTCTTATTGAACTGTCATTATCGTTAAAAAAATAAATAAAAATATTGTAATAATTATCGTTATCGAATTATCACCCAGCCCTATGCTGAAGTATATATTAACCAGTTAAACTCTGCTGCTATTTTGGGGATTTCCGCCTAGATTTTGTCTACCAAAATTTAAAAGTTTGCCAAATCCACATGCAGAGGTGTAAATGCAAAAATTTGGTTTCATTTTAAAGAAAACCCTTTGAATTTTCATTAAACACTACTGAAAGTGTTTAAAATATCTGTATATGTCGTCTGTGTTATAATAAACACCTAAAAAAAAGAGGCGCTTTTTGTATTTTTTTTATAAACTCAAATAAGTGAACCTTTTAGGTTCTGTGTGGTCTAGCGTGCTGTAATTAATGTTGGTGGTTCCTGCACATGTCTGTAATCATAAGGAAAAAGAAAAATGTCTCCACCATAATCTATGCAGAAGTTATTGCATTCCAACTGATGAGAGGTGCTGTACAAGACACAGGGAGCGATCATTGTTTACATATTTCACTATTCTTCTGTTTGATCAAACATAATTGACTGTGTTTGGAGCACGTCAGACATATAAAAGGATTACTTATGCACATCACCTCAAAAACAGAGGAGAATGGCCCTGAAGCGCACAGCATAAGGTAAGAGATGAGCTGTCTGTGCTATCTGGGGCTGCTTATTGATCATTAATGTATTGTTTACACTTCTGCGCCATGGAAACACCACGATTCATTCAGCAACTGTTTGATATGTGAATATAATTCAGTAAAAAGAAAGCTAGAACTGTATGAGCACCGGCAAGAGCTTTCATTTGAGCTATAACTTGTCCATGTGTAATATAAAAAAATATGAAAATGAACCAATGTTCAACACCCAGCTCGGGCATCCAAAATACTGTGTATTTAAGTCTAAATAACTTTTATGCAGTAGCATAAAAACCCAAGTGATGCATATGTGCATAAAATATAGATTCTACACTTTCAAACGACACCACTTACAAGGGTCTGGTGCAACGCTAGCCCTTTAAATCTTACAGCGAAAGCCGATGATGTCACGCGTCAGCGGAGTTTAACTGTACTCTTCATGTCATAAGCATACATTTGAGTAATTCAGGAAAATAATAAGTACAATATTTTGTTTAGGGATGTACTCAAATAAAAGTAAAAGTTTCCTAAAATACAAAATACTCAGGAAAAGCAACGATTCTTAAAATAATGAACTTGAATACAGTACCCTGCTGCAAAATCCAGCTTAAACCAGCCTAGGCTGGTTGGCTGGTTTTAGCTGGTCGACCAACCTGGTTTTAGAGGGGTTTTGGCCATTTCCAGGCTGGTCTTAGCTGGTCAGGCTGGAAAATGACCAGCCAAATCCAGCTAAAACCAGCTTGACCAGTCTGATTTAAGATGGATATAGCTGGTTTTGGCTGGACTCCCAGCTTGGCTAGGCTGGTTAAGCTGGTTTTAGCTGGTCATCTCCCAGCCTGACCAGCTAAGACCAGGCTAGAAACCAGCCTGGAAGTGGCCAAAACCCCTCTTAAACCAGGCTGGTCGACCAGCTAAAACCAGCCAATAATCTCACCCTGGTTCAGGGTGGTCAAATAAAAATACATAGACCACTGAATTTTAAGCATATTTCCGAGAAACACATAAAAAGTAAACACTCATAATGTTTTGGTTTAAAGGTTTACCTACAGCACCCCAGAATACACCTTAATGGGCTGTCTTACCTGGTAGAGACAAAGCAGGCGTCTCCGCCGATGTGTAGCCGACAACACCCACTTTCTCTGAGCCCAACGTGAAGATTTTATATGGGAAATAGTATCCGCTGATCCGAGGAGCAAGTGTCTCATCAGCTTTGATGTTGGCGCTGAGAACAGTGCAGTTCACCTCCTGAAGGAAAGGTTTCAGCAGGCCGTCCACGCCGTTGTCAAACTCATGGTTTCCTAAAGCCTAAAGCATCACAAACACATGCTAAAACGCATTAAAATAAAAAACCAGTGCTTCCATCTGCCTATTTTTACGTGCATTTTGGAATATGCATACATATTCCAAGCATCACAGTGCTTGAGTATTGTTATTCTCCTATTATTAATCCCTCCAGAACTGTCTTGAGCATCTGTCTGCGCACCCAAAGAGCATCTCACACCACCAAAAGCCACCTAATTCATTGCATTGCATCTTCTGTTGTGCAACTCGTTTATTAAAGAAGTTAAAAGACCACAGTGGCTTCTCCTACATCCTCTTTTTGATATTTGCAACAAGTTCATCAAAACGCAATGACTATGTTCCCGTTGACTCAAGTCTACTTCACATCTTTGGATGGAAACATAGCTAACATCACAGGCCATCAATGTAAACTCGACTAAAATGCTGAAAGGCAGTGGTTTGTATTAATGCATTTTGTTTGCAAGCACTTATAGGGCTCTATTTTGACGGTCCATGTGCAAAGGCGCAAACGCTTTCAGGGCGTGTCAGAATCCACTTTTGCTAATATAAGGACAAAAAATCCGCTTTGCGCAGTGGAGCATGATCTAAAAGGGTTGAGTTCATTTTCTTATTGAGTTATAGGTGTGTTTGGAGAATAAACCAATTAGAGTCTCATCTCCCATTCCCTTTAAGAGCCAGCTGCGTCACGCCATAGTGCATTCACTATTTACAGGACGTAAAGTAAGTGTAAGTGGAAAAACTGAGCATTTCACAAGCAAGAAAACAGATAAACAGAGCATCTCCAGCACGAGAATGAGAGATAAATTATTCACTTTCACTCTCGTGGATAGGGAAAGCTTGCACGCACAGACATCAATTAGTCTATACATAATTAATTTCATTTGTTAAGTGCAAAGATTTGCTTCAAAACTATTTCTAAATTCAGTTCTAATTTTCGGCAAACGAATAAATGAACAATAATAACAAAATGTGCTCAAAAACCTGAGTTATATCCTAAAACACATGCTGCGCCCCATATGGTCTAAAACCTGACAGGTGGACAAATCTAAGCTTGTTTTTAATAAAACAAATATAAATATGGATATAATAAATAATACTGCTAATAATAATAACATTATACAAAAGCAAATTGTTATGAATGAACTGAAAAAGCCTCCGGAGATGAAGAAGGCATGAAGGCAGTGGTGTTTATATTTATGTAGGCTAGAAAATAATATGTTTTGTAATATTTTAATCCTTTATATTTATATCCTATATATGTCCTACATATATCCTTAATATTTTAATTATTTTTCATATGTTAAGATATTTGTGTATTGCTCTACATCTTGTGTGTATTAAGCAGTGTCTAAGTGAGGCGCATAACCAACTTGCTCTGCGTTGGACTTTAGACCGGCTTTGTTTTGGTCTATTGAAAAATCTATTATAGTTTCTCAAAATAGCAACGCGCCAGCAATGCGCCTCAACACGCCTCCCTTTTTTAGATCAGAACGCCTATGGGCGCACAAATTAGCGCTAATGCATTTGCTATTTAAACAGCGTGACGCAAAACGTCAAAATGACTCTTGCACCAAGCTGAAACTAGCAAACAACAATTGCATCGCGCGTTTCGCCACATTGCGCCGGCTGTATGATAGGGCCTGTAATTGGTTATGGTACTGATAATCTTATAACAGAAGCATAACTGAAGGCCAGGGCATGTTACAGCAGCACTAAACCAAGTTCCTCAGTAACACACACAAGAACAAAAGGAGGCTTTCCCCCTAACTTCATGATCCAAATGTAAAAAATCAAATGAAAAATCATAAAAGGCTGATAAATTGTACAATAACTAACAGTTGTACGTTATTTATTCATTAACAATTCAGTTTGGAGTGTTTTAAAGCTATGTAACAGGACAACTGGAAAACAAATCAATAAATTAATGTGAAATCTGGGTTTTTGTATTATAAAAATGCGGTCTGAGAACAAGATGTCTTCAGTCTCGTGAGCTTCAAAAGGTTTTCTTCAACTCTCCTTTTAGCAGCTCATGTTTCACCAGAAAAGGCTGACTTATATGGCAGAACTGCTTAAAGACAAGCGTAAAAGCAGTGCAGTGGACATTCTCATCACATATTTTCTTATTAAATCATTTAAGCAGCTCTGCTTGTACACTACCTGACAAAAGTCTTGTGGCCTATCCAAGTTGTACAAACAGCCAACAATAACCAGACTTCTAGTTGTTGATTTGGCGTCAGAAGTGTCTCTATGAAAGGTGAAGGCCTCTAGATTTTGCTGATTTGAGCTCAATAAATCTGATCATGTGTTGATGTTGACTGATTTGATGAGGACAGTGCGGTCTGACTCTGCTCAGACTAAAGTCTCATCACTGAACAGAAATAATGTCCAGTATAGAATATAAAGTCCTGCTGCAGTGGAGACAGAATGAAGATTGTGTCTGACTCCATCATGAGCTTGGAGGACTGCATCCATACATCTCTGACATGACTCACATCACTGATTAATAAAGTCATCTGGAATGAAGAAGAAAGCCTTCAGAGTTCATCAAGAGTCTTTGTGTTCATCTTCAACACCTCCTCCTCCATCAGCTCAATAATGTTGATATCTGGTGACTGGGCTGGCCAATCCTGGAGCACTCTCTGCTTTCAGGATCTTTGATGTGGAGGCTGAAGTATGAGCAGGAGCGCTATCCTGCTGGAGAATTGTCCCTCTCCTGTGGTTTGTAATGTAATGGGCAGCACAGATGTCTTGATCCCTCAGGCTGTTGATGTTGATCATCCACTCTGCAGATCTCTCCATACTGAATGAACCCCAAACCATGATTTCTCCTTCACCGAACTTGACTGATTTCTCTTTGAATCTTGGTGCATGCTGGTTCCAGTAGGTCTTCTGCAGTATTGGTGATGATTGGGATGCAGATCAACAGATGATCCAGCAGAGAAATCCACCTTCTGACACTCTTACACATCATCAACTAGATCAATTTGTTGCTCTTCGACAAGACTTTTGTCAGTGTACTTGTATTGTGACTGAAGTGTTGGGATGGTCATCCTCATGCTGTTTATCTTCATACGACAATACGAAAACCAACTGTTTAAATTAAAAGTAAATGAACTTACATGTACTTCTATAAATATATTTAACCAAATAAAAATGTCTCCAATCTTTCTCTTCGAAACACACTCTCCTCATCTACAGCACACAATAGAGAACAGACAGCTTCACTGGAGCATATGTGAATGTTCATTGGCAGTGGCTGACTGGAGGATCTACATTTGGGAAACACCTCCTCTGTTTGTGTTCCAGCAGTCTGAGTCCCGCTGCACCCGAGCGGCCGCTCTGTCCACTGTAATGAAGACTCCAGTGGCTCACCTGTCCTGTCCAGCACCTTCTGTCCACATACTGTACTACGTCAATGATTAAATGAGGAACGCGTCCCTTTGAAACCTCTAATGATGGAAAAACTGACCACACCTGGAGGAAGCTGAGAGATCACTTTGGGTCCATTAGTACCAATTGAGCATCAACGCCACAGCCTACCTGAGTATTGCTGCTGACCATGTCCATCCCTTTATGAGCACAGTGTCTCCATCTTCTGATGGCTACTTCCAGTAGGATAACGCAGCATGTCAAAAAGCTCAATCATCTCAGACTGGTGAACGTGACGATGAGTTCACTGTACTCAAATGGCCTCCACAGTCACCAGAGCTCAATCCAATAGAGCAGCTTTGGGATGTGGTGGAACGGGAGATTGGCATCATGGATGTGCAGCCGACAAATCTGCAGCAACTGTGTGATGCTATCATGACAATATGGAGCAAAATCTCTGAGGAATGTTTCCAGTAGCTTGTTGAATCTACGCCACCAAGGATTAAGGCAGTTCTGAAGGCAAAAGGGGGCCAACCTGGTACTAGTAAGATGTACCTAATAAAGTGGCCATGAATGTATGTATATAGTTATAGTTATTAGTTATGCTTCATTATTTTGGTGCTGCACCAAAATAATAAACCATAACTAATTTTGGCACTCATGTTTCCAGAACTATAATAATAATAATAATAATAATAATAATAATAATATTTAATAATAATAATAATAATAATAATAATAATTAATAATAATGATAATAATAATAATAATAATAATAATAATAATATTTAATAATAATAATAATTAATAATAATAATCTCCTTACCATTTATTTATATGCCAAAATATTTTGTAAAATAAAACGATAGTGGAGTTTAGTATAAACATATAATTAACAGATTAAAAGGATTAATAAAGCAACATGCAATGGGTCTCGTTCTGTAAAGCAGGATAAAAACAAACATTTAAACTCTGGAAAACACCTCATCTATTACAACTATATTCCGCTGTTATTATTAATGTTGGTGTAAATAATGTGAACAGTCTTATCTCAGCCGTTTAGTTTAATTTTCAGTAATTAATCATGTTATTGTTATTAAAAACATTACAATCTGCTCAGTAAAGCGGTTTACAGTATAAACAACCCCTATTAAACGTGTTTGCTGGAAATAATGTGCAACATGTGAATCAAACCCGAAAGTTTGGTGGCTTAGATGAATAACAAGGACGCAATGTTCAATTAACAAGACCCCAGTAAACATATTATCCAGAACCTATTATCCACTTTAAGCACATAAACATCAACCTACAGTAGCAACGTCTTAGCAACCACTTTACATCATCCTTATAACCATTTAGCAACACCCTAGCAACTACTCAAAACACTATAGTAAACATGTTAACAGTGTTCAAGCGACCCCTCAGAACATCTTAGCATGTGATGTGTTCTTACTATTTGCATTGACTCATGAAATAAGCCGCTTCAGCACTTTTGTGGCAGCTAAATAGACATATTAACTCTGAAAAACAGCACACTTCTATTCCACTGTTGCTGTTATTAATATGGATGTAAAAATTGTGAAAGTACATTCAGTCTTATCTCAGGCGTTTAGTGTTATTCTCAGTTCCTGTTACTGCAAACATTCTACTTTTACAGTAAATGAGCGACTCTTATTAAAAGTGAAATCACGTTACATGTGAATCAATTAAACACTGAATGTTCAGTGACTTGGTTGAATAACAAGGCTGTAATCTGCAATTAGCAAGACACTATAAACCATAGAAGGGCAAACTCGGTCCTGGAGGGCTGGTGTCCGGCACTGTTTAGCTCTATCTTTAATCAAACACACCTGCTTATGGATTTCTAGTGATCTTGGAGACACTGATTTGCATGTTCAGGTGTTTTTGATTGATTTCAGATTCAGGAAATGTTCACAGTGTGTCTGATAATATTTTTTCTTCTGGAGAAAGTCTTATTTGTTTTAATGCGGATAGAATAAAAGCATTTTTTAATTTATTAAAGGCTTTTTAGGGACATAATTATTAGCCCCTTTAAGCTTATTTTTTATTTTAACAGAACAAACATCGTTATCCAATAACTTGCCTAATTACCCTAACCTGCCTACTTAATTTCCCTAGTGAAGCCTTTAAATGTCACTGTAAGCTGAACACTAGTGTCTTGAAGAATATCTAGTCTAATATTATTTACTGTCATCATGACAAAGAGAAAATAAATCAGTTATTAGAGAAAATCTTTACTAGAGAATAACAGAAATTGGCGGAAAAATAAACAGGGGGTGAATAATTCTGACTTCAACTGTATAATACTGAGGTTTTAGAAAGATATTCAATGCCCTACACTTAAATTATGGATGGAATCCATGATAGAGAATCATATGAGTAAATGTTGGCCAAAATGACAGGCGATTACAAGGAAATAGATATATGGGAGATTTTCAATTCCTCGCTTGAAGTATGAAGGTTGCTATCCTGTTATGCTCTGTACTATTGTTTTAGTATGTTTATACTTTTGTTACTGGTTGTTGAATTATTTATTTACCTTCTTAGTTGATGAACAAATTTATAAATTGTGAAGAACTTTTAAATATTTGTATGGAATTGTATATTCTATCAATAAAAATAATAATAATAATTTTAAAAAAAGACTGCAAAGCGATGCATGAAAACAAGTGACTTCCAATAATTGTTGTAAGTTGTTTGTGATAGGGCTGGGTTTCGTTTGGGTTTATGTGCTAAATCGATACTTTAAAAACGATACCGGTGCCAAAACATTACCTGAACCGATACTTTTGAGCCACGAAATTATGGTGGACGACTCTAGATAAATCTTTTACTTGACAAAATCTTTTCAAAAATAATTTTAATTGAACAATATAATTAAAGTTTACAGTAAACATCAATTCATATTTTACATGTTTAAATTACATTAATATATTTCCCTTGATCATTTGTTGGTTAGCATGAATTTAAGATTTGCACTTGAAATTATTTTAGCTTAATACTAACCTGTGGAAAGGCTGTCATCAAAATACTTTTGGGAGCACATTTTAACATATTTCACAAAATACTTAAAAATAATAATATTCAAAGTCATTTTTTTTCATGCATCACTCTGCAGCCTTCATAAACAAGAAAATTAACTAAATTAAACTCAAAATAATCTTCCTAGTTTATTTATTTGACAAGTAACTCTGTACTGGTGTAAGAGAACACATCTCTAACAGTCAAGTACATCGAGGCACATTGCTGCACCTGTAAACTTTAACAGAAAGAAGTCAATTTATTTAACCTCCCATTCATTTTAGGTAATGTTTCTGACAATTTTCAGTGCTTCCTAAAAAAAAATATTATTCTGGAGTCATAATAAGTCCTATTTCTTATTGTTTATTTCTTGAATAAAAGCAGTTTTTTCTTAAAATAAATAAGGTCAGTATAATTAGCCTCCTTAAGAAATATTTACTGTATATTTTTGATATAAACAACAAATCAGTTACACAATAATTTGACTAATTATTTCAACTTTCGTAGTTAACTGAATACGTCTTTAAAGTACACTTTAATCTGAATAAAAGACTATAAAATACTTAAAGGAACTTTAAAGGTCCAAAACTGTGAAGTATAAGTGAGCCCCCTAAAAAGACAAGTGGCCCCCTGTTAGTCTGGTCTACAACCGCGACTGGACTTGGATGTACTTCAATTAGCAACACGTAGGCTATTATACAGGACATACATTCACTATACAGTAGTTAACTCTTTTGGAAACCACTTAGATCATCTTATAAACTCAAGTTTGGAGACTAGTGTGAATATCGGCTGTGTTCTTCTTACCATCGCGTCGTATTTGAGCTGGTTCATGAAATACGCCGCCTCAGCGCCCTTGTAATAGTTAAACCAGACGGTGCCCTGGAACTGGTCTCCTGCGTCCAGCAGCAGCACGTTTTTCTCCTTGCTGCGGATTTCTTTGATTTTGGTGGATCTCCGCGACACTCCGGCGAAACACGGCGGCTTGCTGCATTTGCCCGAGTCCTTGTTGGTCTCCTCCACTCGCGCGTGCACGTCATTGGTGTGCAGCAAAGTGAGCTGGAAGTCCGCAGACCAGCACAGCTGACAGTGAATGAAGAGCAGCAGCAACGCGGAGAGGACATTCATCATCATCATCATCCTCCTACTGTAAAATGAGAAGCTCATAGTGGAGTTCAGAGGACTTTAGACTGGAGGAGGAGGAGTTTTCATCCTCTACACACTGAGGAAAATATACTCATGCAGAGAGTCAGCATGAGTAACCAGACAAGGTTATTTATGAGGTAAAGTTGGTTTACATCCACACACTCGTTCAGTGACAACTCCATATTGTTTACTATGCTACTTTGAATTCTCGATCATAATCGACTTCAATACAACAGTTATTGACTGAACAGTGTTGTACTTTGATAGTCTTTGGTTGCTAATTTCATTATTTAGAACTTGCTACTTTTCCGAGTATATAATGTTTAGGAGAAAGTGTGACTGTGTGAATATTAAACCAACTTTGTCTCAATGGGTTATTTTATCAAACGCAAACTAACACTAACTAGCCCATTCACACCAAGCACGATTGTGGCAAGCCACTTAACATTAACTTCCTGATCATGTCCGAGGCTCTGACACACTCCCTCAGTTCAAAACTAGTTTAGTAAAGCATACACTCAATGCAACACTTAGCGGGTTTCAACACAAGTTTTTACATCTTGTTTATATTCACTTTGATACACCCGAGGTCCTCAGATTATGCGGAGTCACTGATTGGGACCCAAGACCAGCGACAAGATGATCCCAAGGTGTCCACATCCGGGACCAGGCCGTATCCTGAGCTGCTGCTGTGCTGTTGGTCATGGGGGAGTGGAGAGCATGAGACTGATTCCAGTGATGCTCCAGGGACAGACGAGTCTTCGCTGAGGCCAGCTTCTAGCCTCCACTGCTGAGACTGCAGCTCTGCCAAGACTTTTGGCCAGCGGAGAAATTATTATGGTTGTGCCCAACTGAGTCTGGTTCTCTCAAGGTTTTTATTCTTCACTCTCCTATTGCTGAAGTTTTTTCCCTCTCCGCTGTCGCCACTGGCTCGCATGGTTCAGGATCTGAAAACTACTCATCGATGGATTTGCTCTTCAGTGTTTGGACTCTCAATAATGACTTCAAACCACACTGAACTGAGCTAAACTGAACTGAACTTAAACACTAAAACTGAAACTGAACTACCCTGATCCAGTTACTATGACCATTTATGTGAAGCTGCTTTGACACAATCTACATTGGAAAAGCGCTATACAAATAAAGCTGAATTGAATTGAATTGAATCTATAACCCATACTAGTGTGTATGTTACTAGTACTTATTTTTTAAATACTAGTATCTTTTCCATTAAGTACTACAATGTAAACAAATATTCTGCATTTTAGTTTTCTCAACATGATTTTGTAAGTTGAAACAACAAAGTTGATCATTCAACTTAACCTGGTAAGTTTTTGATGTGTCTGTAATAGTGTTTGTTGACTCAACTTAAAACATGCTGAAGCGCCGTTCTTTAAGTTGCAACCCTTACTTCTAATCCAGCAGGTGGCAGAATATGCACCATTAAGTCAATTAGCTATTTAAACACTAGAAAAAGGAGCCATTTTTTCCCCAAGAGCCCATGTTAGTTGTGTATTTTAGAGTTTTACATGTATTTTTGTTCTCCTCTTGAGAATACTTTTACTTGACATTTACTTTGAAAAGATTACTTAATAAGAACAATACTTTGCAAAGACAAATACTGTATATTGTAAGTACATTATGTGTAATTGTGTGTAATAAAGACCTTTAATAAAACATGTAATGTATTTACTGTTCAGTTTCTAATTGAGAAAATCCGCTAATTATGTTCAGCGAACTTGAAAATGTACTGTAAGTTATCGCATTTAAACTAAATTTGTCAAGTTCTGCTAACTTGATAATGTAAGTTAACCTATTAAAACTTTGCAAGTCCAGTTAACTTGAAACAAGTAGTTGGTTCAACTATTTAACTCTTTCAACTTAATCTCATCTGCGTGGTCATCCTTTTTTGTGTAAAAATGTCCGAAGTAAAAAGTTATCAAAATAAATAGTGGAGTAAAGTACTGAAACTAGAAAAATCTTTAAGTACACGGATGAAGTATTTGTACTGCATAATTTCCCATTTCTGTCAAGTCCACACGTCAAAGAGTCCAAATATGTGGGGTAACTGCAGAATTTAAAAATGCTGTACACCAGCAGAATCACTCGCAGAAACAAAAACAAGATGACAAAATAGAAAGTAATAAAATATGAAACAACGAAGTTCAGCCACACCCTGAGATCAATGTTTGCCATCCATGTTTTTAGAGGCACACCAACAGTACACTGTATTCTAGAAACACTTCCTATTAAAACACACCTAGAACTTTAGAAGAGAGTCCAAATCTGCAATGAATGAGACGTCCAAAATATGACCTGCTGGTGTGTGTCCAGGTCCAGGGTTCAGGATCAATAAAATGTTCATTGAGCAGGTGTAATATTCATTAATATTAATTATTCAAATTCTTATATTCACTAAGGTGCCGCTGTTTGGGGTCGAATGATAGTTCATCATTAACCTGCAGGCTGCATTTTGCTCACGAGGCTGCGAGAAAATAAACAAAAAGAGCAGAGCTGCGGTAAATAATGAATAAAAAGAGTGAGGCTACGATCAAATAAATAAATAAATGAAAAAAGTGTGTGCAAGCAGCTAGGGACACCGGCTATCGCTCCCAAAAACAGACCCACCTACTGGGAATTCTCCCGGTCCTCCAGATTAGCCAATCCGGACCTGATCTCTTGCCACATTAGATTAGAGATTATGATAACATAATACATGTCTTCAGTGATTTCCTGAAGATAAATATTCAAAATTAACACAACTGGAATAACTACAGCAGTCTCCATCGTCTAATCTCATATGAAGCAAGAGATCGCGATGATGACGTGTGTGTAACGGAGGCCAGCTAGTAAGTGCTGTGCAGACAAACCTCAATCCTCTGACCTCTAAAGGTGCTCTAGGGCCAGACGCTAGAGGCCACTGTCTTTAGCCTCCTTGTTAGAGCACCCGACTCCCATGCGGAAGGTCGCCGGTTCAACAGGGCGAATATATGCATCGATGGATTTACTCTTTAATGTTTGGACTCTCACTAGTGATTATTAACCACACTGAACTGAACTTAAACACTGAAAACTGGACCGACACCATTTCAGTTCACTATAATCTTCTATGTGAAGCTGCTTTGACACAATCTACATTGTAAAAGTGCTATACAAATAAAGCTGACTTCAATTGGATTGTTATAGAGCAGAGTTTGAGACATCTATAAGACCTCTAAAGGTATTTTTTTATTAGTAAAGCAAAGCATTTTAACTATTTTACTGGTTGTTTAAGACCAGACATGTAACATAAAAAGAAGCAGATGCTGGGAATGACAGCAGTGAGCTCACATCTGCTTACGAGTCTCCAGCCCTGAAGAGCCCCCCGATACGCCACATGTACAGAGAGAAGAGGGAAAACTCATCCGCCAGCGGGAACGCTTTAGTTTCCAGCCGCACCACAAGCTCCTGGTTCACTCTGTTATCTGTGTCCTGTGCGAGACGCTCCAGCAGCCAGAACAGATAGAAGGAATTCTGATAGCAGACCCAGTCCACCTGATGATGCTCATGCTCTTCTCTGGATTTCTGCAGGAGACAAAACCATAGAGTTTTTGACTCAATATATACATTACCCATTCAAACAAACATGACAGCAGCAAAATCTAATTTCTCCAGATGTTTTGACATACTGTACAGGTGATTCTTGAATTATGAATACATTTTGTGTCACCTGCTAAAATTTTTCAAAAACATTAAAGGTGGCTGACATTATCTTGGATAATAGGAGAGCTGTTATGCAAAAATCATGCATTGTGTGGCAACTGTGTGAATATAAGCAGCTTCTTAATGGTAAAAAAGTCTTAATTTTATTTGTTATAATCAGACTTTATCATCAGACTTGATAAAAACAGTCTGCAGACACAGTTTGATTGACATTCTCCCTTTGTACGAGTCATCAAAGGGTGAAAGCCCTGGCTACTATAGTGAGCATCTCTCCCTCATTAGCATAGAACATCTCGGTTAGGAATGTAACCTTCGTTCCCCGAATAGGGAACGGAGACGTGTGTCTGAAAGACACTTTGGGAGGACGCTAGCCGACCAATTACAATTATGAGTTGGCAGAGCTCGGCTGCGCAGGTGCCAGTGATTAATTATTAGTAGAGTATATAGCTGGCGTGTGCAGAGCGAGCCTTAGATTTTTAGCCTGCTGAAAAGACGAAAACTCAGCTAACAGCTGGAGGCTGCTGTGGCATCAGGGAATGAGGGTTACATTTGTAACCAAGACATTCCCCTTCGCGGAAATTGGTAGAGCACCGATGTTAGCCCACCCTCTGATGCAGCATTGGCCATCAGGTTCCCGTTGTCATCTATTGAGAGCACAGCCATCCCGGAGGACGTGGACGGACCATGCACACTCACTCGAAGCTTGGACAGAGCGAACTGACGAGGATTGAGGGTTCCATGAGCCCAAAGGCAACGAATGAGCCCCCAATATGATCCTCAGGCCTGCCTGTGTGCTAACCGACTTGCAGGGCTGCCGCACCCTAATGCTAGAGTACACCGCGACCTCAGTTGCGCAACAATCAAGCCCACACAGTGAGGGCAAGAGCTGTCTGCGAGCACCTCCTCAACATGCTGAACCCCCAGATATGTGATGCAGTTCTTTTATCTTCCAGCGAGACAATCAGGGGACGGGAAAGGAGCAAAGTTCGACCACTGCTGTCACGTCGTCACCCGCACTGGTAGAAGGAAGGTTTCTCAGTGAAATCAGGTTGGCAGATATGTAACTCTTCAGTCTCTTAGTTAAAGGCTCAGAAGTGAAAATCTAAGGCTCGCTCTGCACGCGCCAGCTATATACTCAACTAATGATTAATCGCTGGCACCTGCGGAGAGGAGCTCTTCCAACTCATTGGCATTCATTGGCCCATTTTTTTTAATCTTCAGAGTGGTTGGTTAGTTACCGTCCTCCCAAAGTGTCTTCCAGACAAACATCAGAGTTCCCATGAAGAGGAACTAAAGCCACGGTCACAC